CAAACAAACAAACAAAAACAGGAACAAAAATGAGTTACTTTAAGTTATAAGAGCTGGTTAGAAACAAGCCTAAGCTATCAGCCAACCAAGTTTTCATGATTAATAAGAAGTCTCCTCCATGTTGTTTTGTAGTGAGTTGGTAGCCCAAATAAAAATCCATCTACAGAATAATGCAGTTCTAATTACATATTGATCCTCTCATCAAGAGTCTTCCAGTTCCTAACTGATGTTGTCATTATGGTGTTGGCTATCTTTTAGGGCTAATAATATAAATATGTGTATATATATTTGAGTCAGGGTGTATTAATCCCAAAGATTTGAGGAGAAAGACCACTAATCCGAATGATCACTGTCAGGTTAATTAAATCAATGTTGGAGTCGGAGGAGGGCCTGCTTGTTTGTCCCGGCCACCCAGCTAGCTTAGCCCCGAATAACCACATAGAAACTGTATTAATTAAATCACTGCTTGGCCCATTAAGTCCAGTCTCTTATTGGCTAACTCTTATATTAATTTAACCCATTTAGTAGTCTGTATCACCATGTGGCAGTGGCTTACCAGGTAAAATTCCCAGCGTCTGTCTCCAACGGATCCATGGCGTCTCTCTGACTCTGCCCTTCTTTCTCCCAGCCTTCAGTTCTGTCTCTCCGCCTACATAAGTTCTACCCTATCAACAGGCCAAAGCAATTTCTTCATTAAACAATGAAAACAACATATAGGCAGAAAAACCTCCTACACCATTTCCCTTTTTCTGTTTAAACAAAAGGAAGGCTTCAACTTTAACATAGCAAAACTACACATACAAACCAGGTATCAAGAAAGAACTACAGTTAAAATATTTATACCTACTTTATCTTTTATCATAACTAAGGGAAACTATAACAATAAATTCTTCAACTCCATCAAAGACTCCAGAAGGATATAATATGTAAACAGGAAGTGCATTATAAACAACTTCCAAAACTCTAGAATTAACAGAGACATCTTGCTACCTGGATAGTCACCCAAAGTTTTCTGTACCACTGGGGTATCCATCTTTAGCCTATAGGCCCATAGTATCCAGCAGACTTTTCCATGAAGGCAGGAAATTTCAAAGATAGTTCCACCTATAAGGGCAGTTTGTCAGTCACTTTCTTCTGTGTCCTGCAGGATGTCTAGCAGACTCTTTCATAAAGCAGGAACCCCAAAGGACCATCTCACCTTTAGGCAAGTTCAGCAGTCATTTCTCTGTGGGTCCCACATGTCCAGTTCACCCAATAGGGGAAGATAAGAGCTGTTATAGGGGAGTTCCAAATGGGGGACTTGGCATGCAAATAGGCAGGGTTATAAAGCAGAATATAACCAGGTGGTCATAATAAGGTATTAATAATAACAGGTTGCTGTAATAACCCTCTGAAACAAAGGTAGAGTTGCAAGATGGTGATAACAACTTTTCAAACAAAGACATGGTTGCTGTTTCCTGGAACAGGCAGGCAGTACCGAACCGTTTATATTTAAAGTTACAGGTGAGGTAGAATCCAATTCTTGAAAAATAAAAGTTTAATCATGAACAAGAACGAACCTAGCTTGTCTTGTCAATTCCAGGAAATGAGAGTAAAGACCAGTTCCCAAATTCTTTGGTCAGATTATGCAAGATGTATTTTCTGTTAGACCGAAGAGACTATTTCTTTAAAGTAGGTTTGAGGAAATAGCACTGGACACAGGAAAAGGTTTATATAGCTCCAAACATGCAAGGTTTTTTTTTTAAAGGTTGGGAGACTTCCAAAGTAATTTTGGTTATGTATAATTTTGACAGAACATGTTATTAGGTTGGAAGTTAGGGTATGGAGTGTGGAATGAGTCATTCCAGAAAATAAGTCAAGGCATGGTCAAACACAAGTTTTACAGAAAACAGGAATGGGCTTATTTTGACCTTGTAACAAAATGGCTTCTAATGTTAAGATGTAAAAGGCTAATCCATCAGTCTTTACTATCAGATGGCTTTCAACCCTAAGATGGAAGCATTCTGGTTCATCAGAAGTTCTCATTCTGTGGTCTTGCCTGAATTGAAAATTGCTATATAGGTCCCAAAGACCTCCAACTCGCAAACATCCATCCACCTCAGCCTCCTTAGTGCTGAGATTAAAGGTGTGCATTACCTCTTCTGACCTCAACACAATATTTTTTAAAGTTAGTTCTGAAGAAATATAGTATAAGAATAAATGAGGAAAAGTTAAAACCACAATATCCACTAAGAGACAAGAAAAAATAGTTAATTCTCAAATTAAAAGTATAAGCACCTCTTGGGATTAGAAAGTACTATTATAAATATTATTTATATATACAGTATTCTGCTTGTATATACACCTGCACGACAGGAGAGGGCACCAGATCTCCTTCTAGATGGTTCTGAGCCACCCTGTAATTGCTTGAAATTGAACTCAGGACCTCTGGAAGAGTGGTCAGTAGTCTTAATCTCTGAGCCACCTCCCCAGCATGGCCCCCAATACTATCACAAGTTTTAGGTGTATCTATCAATGGGAATTTAGAGGATAAAACGGGAAGTTTCTGAGAAAACAGAACAGAAGAAAGAAGAGATAGAAGATTAAAAAATACATTTTTTTTAAAAAAAGTACAAAATTAGATAGCAAATTGAGTTCCCCTAACTAACAAGAGCTGCACAAAGGAGTAAAAGGCAAATGGAGGAAATTAATTTTGAGGGAAATAAAGTAGGAGATCACCAACTCTCATTTTTTTTTTTAAAGCAGGAGTAAAGAAAGAAGCAAAACACGGAGAGTGGAAAGAATAGAATTCAACACTAATCTCCAACTAAATGAGGCAGGACAGAAGTAAATGTAAGGAGGAATTGAGCTTAGGGTTTTAAGACTGAGGATCACAGCTTATGCCCCAACAACTAGATCTGGCCTCTTATCCTCAATAAATTGATTAAAAGAGACAAGTAAATATTGAAAAGCAGAAAAGGGCGATTTATTTCATGTGGTCTCATTGGGAAAGGACACAGGCGATCCAACGACCTTTCAAATTCCTCTCTGGGGTCTTGGCTTGAGGTAGTATTTAAGGACAAGACATGCAATACCCATGACTCAGCAGTCCAGTCATGGCATGTTTCTTTGTCCACGACTGTCTCAGCTCCAAGTCTGTCCTGCAAGGTGATCTGACAAGTGAATCTTGCCCGGTCACGGAAGATGGCCTGCCACTTTCTTTATAAACCAAACCTGTCCTGGAGGGAAAAAAGAGTCGCTGGGGAAGCTGGTGACGGGGGAAATCTGGAGTGGAGTTTTAGCTACACTGTGTTTAGACATTTCACAACGTTTTCTTTTATTCAGTCCTTCAAATTCTTTCCCAGAAGTTTTCCATTTTCTGAATATTTTTTATAACTCTAGGGACTTTTTGTTGTTGATCTCTCAGCTAATTGGTGACTACTCAACTCTGCTCATTTTCTGACTTTCAATGTCCTGTAAGAATACCATTTGCTTTTATAATCACTCCTTGACCCCCTTGAGTAGATTCAGAAAAGCAAGAAATACATTTTGCTTCATGAACCACATTTACCCCATTATTTAAAAATATTATACTTATCAGATTACGACCCCCCCCCACATTTAAATACGTTAGAGCTTCCTCAGAGCTCCTAAGTGAGCTGACCCTGCAGCTCTAAGCTGACTTTGTAATCCAGTGGTTCTCAACCTTCCTAATTCTGAGATTCCGACAATTTAATACGGTTCTTAATATCATAGAGACCCCCAACCATAACATTATTTTAGTTGCTACTTCATAACTGTAATTTTGCTACTGTTATGAATCGTTATGTTAATAATTGTGTTTTCCAAAGGTCATAGGCCACCCCGTGAAAGGGTCCTTTGACCCTCGCCCCCACCCCATGAATTGAGACAAGTAGCTTTGGCTCGTTATGGTTTAGTAAGGAAACGTTCCTCAGTCTTAGGCTTCTTTCTTGTTAGTTTAACTTTGTTCATCAGAATGTCCACCTCGTTAAACAGAACTTACCCTAACATCAGTAACTCTGTAAGTCGACTTTCTAACATTAAAACTAATACTGTCGTCCTAAAAGGAGACTTTCTTACATCTTACACTTATCTTTATGAGTGTGATGTTAAGTTGGGAGTGTCACCCCAGCCCCTGGCTTCCATCCTAGCCCCCTGGCCCGGGAGTTGCGTTGGTCTGGACTCCAAATCCCAGGACCACTCCCACAGGGTATTTAAGTGGACGTCCAGCGGAGGAACACATGGCTTTGCATGTGCTCCACTGTTTTATGTCTCCCATGTCATGCTCTCGGCACCCGAGAGTGCTGTATTGAATAAAACATGGGCAGTTTCATTCGTTTTTATTCGACCTGATTGGATTTCTGTGCGGGGGGGGGGGGCCAACGGCTTAGCTCATTTCCTAACAATGAGAAAACTTCCTGTCAACATTTGTACCTCTGCAACTCAGTTTTATTTTCTTTGTAACATTTATGGTATTCATTTCATTTCTTTTACTTGTCTCTGCCTCACCAGAATGTCCTGTGTCTTGTGTATTTTAGTTCGCAGGCTGCCTCCAGGTACAAAGAACACTTCTAGTGGGAACACTGGGGAGATTGTAACTGCAGGGGACAGGCAACTTTGGAACCTGATGGAGGAACCTGCTTTTACTAACTTGCAGAGTATAATTTAGAGCTTGACACTAGGCAGTGTAAATAGAAACACGTGTTTGCCTTAACATCTCTCTCTCTCTCTCTCTCTCTCTCTCTCTCTCTCTCTCTCTCTCTCTCTCTCTCTCTCACACACACACACACACACACACACACACACACACACACACACACAGATCTCAGAACCTAGTTTTTCTTTTAGCAAATCTAACGTGGAAACTGCGGCGGGAGAGTGGGAGGGACCGGGGATGCTCTAGCAAACGCTACTGGAAATCTCACCCCAGGTCCCAGAATGCATCACACTCCGCCGCATCTGGAGAGGGGCATGCTGGGATCTCTCCTCCGCCGGTGAGGAAGGGCTGTTGTGGCTGCGGTACTGCGGAGGGCTCTCGGAGGCCAGAGCTCTCTTTCGGTTCGCTGTGGGGCAGAGTCTCGGGTGGCCTGACCCACGTCGCTCGGGCGGGCTGTGCGGGGAGCGGCGCCGGACGCTGGCGGCTCCCGCGGTGGGGAAGGACGGCGGCGCAGCCGCTGACCCCGTCTCCTGGCCGGCTCTGGGTAGCCGCAGGGCCGGTGCCGGAGCCGGGTCGGACGTTAGCCCGGTGGGACGTTGGCGCAGAACTCCGTCAGATTCGGGCCTTAACGCCTTCGCCACCGCGCACCCAGGCTCCCCTTGGCCTGTCTCACTTCTACTGTATCCTTTATCTGAAACGAAACTGAGTGTCCAGAGAACTAACTTCCTTCTAGAATCAGAAACTTACTTTCCTTGTCTGAAGAGAAACAAGAAAAAGGAGAAAATGTATAGACATTTTACAAAGCTGAGTTTACATGAAAGGGATAATTGCCCTCGGTTTTTATTTTCAGGTGGGTTAGGAAGGTGGTGGTGTGATTGCTTGAAAAGGGTTGTTTTTGTTTGTTCGCTTTTTTTTTTTTAAATCAGCTTCCTATATGTAATCAGCTTGCTATTAGCCCATCAAATCTAAATTCTCTGAACTCGTTTGATACTGAACTTCAGAGGAATGAGCTGTTAGCTAATGTAACGAAACCAGCGACTATAACCCAGTTTTCTGGATTTCGTGGATTCCAGGAGTGAGTGCTGTTTTCCTACAGCCTCTCAGCTTTTACCTTTGGGCTCTGCAGTGTGTGTTCAGTTTCTGGCTAGAGTGACCTGTCTGATCCAGGGTTTTCATGTATGTAAAAACGATTCAGTTTGACATTTGTAAAGCCCGGAAGTGTTAATACTAAGGTACATTTACCCTTCTCATTAATACATGCAAGTAAATATACACGTAGACTGCACTTTTCCTTTAACCTTACCTTGCATGAACACCTAATTAAATACACTTTTTTTCTATCTTTTGAATCAAACACTTTGAATTTTTGTTTTGTGTGATGAAGTCTCACTAGGCAGCTCTGACTGGTTTGAAACTGTGTAGACCAGGCTTGCCTCCAATTCATGGTGATCAACCTGCGTCAGCCTTAGGAGTGCTGAGATGGAAGGCATCACCATGCCTTAGTGAAATGTTTGATTCATAAATTTATTATTTTTATTTTATTATTACCTTTGATATGTTGAAATTCAGGCACACGTTGAATATCTTTTATTTAAAATATTTAGAAATACAATGCTAAACACAAAATTTCTGTATGTGTCATGTACCTCTTGTATTTTCATGTATACTTATACATGTATATTTATATTTTCAGTGTGTCTGTTTTTGACTGTCATCCGTCCCATGAGATCAGGCATAGATCCACTATGGAATCATGTCATACATAGCTCAGAAGTTTTGCATTTTGGAACATTTGGACTTTGGATTTTTGGAGAAGAGATGCTTAACCTGTAGTGAGGTTTTGATTGATGCTTAGAATTAAGTATATGAATTTAAGGAATGATAGGTATACTGAATATTTTTTGCCAAAGCTAATACACCTCTAAATACTCCAAGAGTGACCAAGTAATTTTATGAAATGTCCTTTTTCTTCAACTCTTGCTTTCAGAATTGTGATTTTGCTTCATTTCTAGGCACATGTCCCCACCATGCTTTCCTGTGACATCTGTGGTGAGACAGTAGCCTCAGAACTAGATATGAAGGCTCACCTAATTGTTCACATGGAAAACGAAGTTACATGTCCGTTTTGCAAGTTGTCAGGTGTAAATTATGATGAAATGTGTTTTCATATTGAAACTGCTCATTTTGAGCAGAATGCACCAGAAAGAAACTTTGGGAAACTAAATGCAATACAGTATGAAAATCCAGACAGCCAGAATACCACTCTACAGAGAACAATGGAAGTTCATTCAAGTATTCATTCAGCTTGTGCATCTAATTTTCCAAAAAATTCAGCCCAAAGCGTTCCTAAAGATGGGACTTTAAAACATGAAGCTTTTCATACAGAGAGGATAACTGAATCTAGACAGTACCTGAGAAGCCCAGAAAAGCAGTCTGGATTGTCTCCAGTACCAGGATCAATTTACGAGACAACTTACAGTCCTCCTGACTGTCCCTTTTGTGGAAAAATAGAGGGGTGTAGTCAAGATATGGAGACGCACGTGAAAACAAAACACGCCAGTCTTTTAGAAACTCCATTAGAAGGTAAAGTGTTTAATTCAGTTAACTTGTTAGGAAAACAATAGTCTTGGTGTAGTCCATGCTATCAAGCTGATTTGGTAACTGCTCCAAATGTGCTTTTAAGATTCAACTTCTGACATCAGTTGCTTTGAAAATATATTCTCAATAGAATCCGTGACTTAAGCTGTTTTCCACCCCTGTGTCTTAGCTTTTAATTTTTGCAAGATTTACATTTCATTTGTGTTTGCTTTCCATATATTTCCCACAGTGGTATTTTTACTCTTAGATAAAAAAGGTATTCATTTATATTCTTGTTTCCCATATTTTAAATTCATTTGAATTATGTATATGTTGTATGTATATGTAGTGTATATATTTGAGAGTTTGGAAAATAAAAATCTATTGATTCATAATACTTTTCAAGTTATTACATCTGTATGAATCAGTTCTGGTCTTTCAGGTCCTATTTTCTTAACTATTCCTTATTATTGTGCTAACTTAATAACTATCATTTTGTAACATGTCAATAATATCAGAGAGGACTGTTTTTGACCTTTTCATTATTTCCTTAGGCATTCTCATTTTATTTTTAAGATTTTTATTGTTGATGTGTGTGTGTGTCTGTGTACAGGTGCCCATGGATTCCAGAAGAGGGAACTAGGGTTATAACTGGCTGTGATTCCCTAATGTGAACAGTAGCTTTTAAATCCAACTGTAAAGGATTTTCATTTTCACAATAAGGTTAGAAAGTAGTAGAAAGTCTTTGATGTGCCTTGTTTGTTTGTTTATTTATTGAGGCAGGGTCTCACTGTATAGCCGCGGCTAGCCTGGAAATTGATGCATGGACCAGGCTGGCTTTAACTTACAGAAATCTGATTGCCTCTAGCTCTTTAGTGCCATGATTAAAAGTGTTCACCACTATGCCTGTCGACATGTTTAATGCTAACTAGGAAAACATTTTACTCATATGATGAAGTTGCCAGATTGCACATAGTTCTTGGCATGGGGTGAAAAGTTTAAACATTCTGCAAATTGAACAAGCGTTTCTGCATCTCTACCACAGACTGTCATCAACCACTCTACGACTGTCCCATGTGCGGGCTTGTCTGTACAAATTACCATATTCTTCAGGAACATGTGGATTTGCATTTAGAAGAAAGCAGCTTTCAAGAAGGTATGTTTGTGTCTAAAAGTATTTTAATTTCTACTTTCTAGAATACATGTTTCTTTTAGGTTATTGATATAATGACAAAAGTCATACTGTTTAAAAGTGAATCTGCTCTTTAAATAGTCCTCATGGAGCTGCACTGCTTTCCTGAAAGTTACTTCACAGAAAAGTTTTACAGGATGAACTGTGGAGACACCATTCAAATCAGATTTTGACATCCTTGAGCTTTGCTTGACTTGGAGAACGTACATCATTTAAGATAATGCTTTGTAAAGTGTTTGCTATTTTAAAGTTTTTATTGGCAAAGTAAGGCCATTCTTTCATTGGTTTGAAGTAATAAAGTTAGCATTTAGCTAGCAAAAATTTTGAACTAGGAAGCTGCCAATTTAAAAAGCTAGGTGAATTTATGTGAATCTTACAACTGTTGTGTGACAAACTTTCCCTGAGAAGACACAGCACACATGTCTACTTACCCCAGAGAGCCTATGACAGACCAAAATCCTGATACCACCAAAGTTCACCAAAATTCAGTTTGATGAGTCATTGAGTTTTATTGGGGTTACTTACAGGAGTATGGGTGAGGAGTTACAAGAGCAGAAATGGGTCAAAACCAGCTGCATCACCCACCCTGTCATGTGGGATGCTTACAAAATCTGGGAAACCCGGAGGACACTGCCTGGCCTGCAGGTAGCTCACCAGGTTGGAAGGTGCCATTTCCTAGAGATTCAGCTGCTCTAAATCCCTCTGAGGCAGCCCAGCTAGTTTCTGCCTATGTGAACACCTTGCCATAATGTTGGATGTCATCCTCGGGAACGCCCTATCTCTCTTTTAAGATGGGGTCTCTTATTGTCATGGAGTCCATGAGTTATGCTAGATCCCAGGAATGCTCCTATCTCCACTTCCCTCATGCTGGAATTACAAACATACCTATAAGGTTCACATGGTTTAGAGGACTGAACTCAGGTCCTTGTATTTGTAAGGCAAGCACTTCACTGGCAGAGCTATCTCCCTGGTCCTGTTGTCTGTCACTTTAAACAATAACATTACTTTTTAGGGAGCTTTTGAAGTGGAAAGATCTTGTGTGAGTTTCCAGGATTTACAGAAAAAGTAAAGTGGCCTCTAAGAGAAGTAAACTGTATTCTACTCAATCTTAGTATTTGAGGATATATAGATAACATAATAAAGTGGGAGATTTAGTGTTCAGTGGTTTACTACCAATACCAGTGATCTCTATGCATCACATGCCTGCTTTATCCCTCACCACAAGAGAAAAATTACTAGAGCATTGATGGCAGATTATTCCTCTTCAGTGGTTTTCCGCTGCCTGCTCCAGTTCGTATGTTTTTGCCTTTGTTTAGGATTCCTGTTTCTGTAATAGCACACCACAACCAAAAGCAGCTTGCGGATAAAAGGGTTTATTTTATCTTATATTTCTAGGTAACAGTCACCACTGAGGGAAGTCAGGGCAGGAACCTTTAGGTAGGAGCTGATGCAGAGACCATGAAGGTGTGCTGCTGACTGGCTTGATCTCTCCTGGCTGGGTCAACCTGGGTTCATCCAGGACCATCAGCCCAGGAGTGGCACTATCCACAAGAGCTGGGTATTCCAATATCAATCACTAAGAAAATGAACTACAAACTTGCCTACAGGTCAATCTTTTTGTTTTTTTGAGACAGGGTCTCACCGTGTAGCTCTGTAAGTCACTTTTGCAGATCAGGCTAGAACTCATAGAGCTCCACCTGCATCTGTCTCCCAAATGCTGGGTGGGATTAAAAGCATGCAGCACCATGCCCGGTCTGCAGGTCAATCTAGTTTTGTTTTTTGTTTATTTTTCAAGACAGGGTTTCTCTGTGTAGCTTTGTGCCTGTCCTAAAACTAGCTCTTGTAGACCAGACTGACCTCTAATTCACAGAGATTTACCTGCTTCTGCCTCTCGAGTGCTGGGATTAAAGGCTTGCGTCACTTGCCTGGTTTATAGGTCAATCTTATGGAGACATTTTCTCAGTTGATAGTCTCTCTTGCCAAATGGCTGTGGCTTGCTAGCTTGCATCAGGTTAACATAAACTAGCCACCTAGCTATTTTTTTTTTTTTTTTNTTACTGCCTGGCCCATTATCTCTTATTGGCTAATTCTCACATCTTAATTTAACCCATTTCTATCAATTTGTGTATCGCCAAATGGCTGTGGCTTGCTAGCTTGCATCAGGTTAACATAAACTAGCCACCTAGCTATTTTTTTTTTTTTTTTTGAGTACTATTGTAAGGGAATGCTGTGAAAAGGTGAGTCTTTGAAAGCTGAATGTCTGCTAATTCTTCCTTTATGGGTAGGCTTTGTATTGGCGCATGTATTCTATAAACCAAGGCAGATAATCTCAGGATATGTTCAAAATCAGTTGTGAATTATATCACCAAGAATATAAGGGAGCCTCAAATAGGAAGAGTAGCAATAGCTGGGAAGTTTGGAAGAAAAAAATGTTCAGTTTTGGATTTAAATAATCAGGTTTGTGAATTGTAATGTCTCTGGATTGAGGAATACCTTGAAGACTGTTAAACTATTCTGTGTGTTTTTCTGCGGATGTTTCCAAGGGAAATGTGTATGTGGGCAAACTGAATAGTGAAGCTTTGTATTCAGTGTGGGGAGGTAGCATCCAGTTTAGTTGGATTCTAGATGGACCAAGACAGTTGTAGAAGGGGCAGACTCACTTTGGCTCTTCCTTCTGGATTGGGTCTTGTTTTCCCTGCTGCTGCTCTTTGCTTTTCGACTCTAGATAGAGTGTTTGACCTTTGGACTCTGGAACTCTTCTTAGCATTCCTATCAGAAATCTGAAGCCTTTGACCTCAGATTGGGATTTTATCCTTTCTAAACTGGTGCTGGCATTTCCAGCTTCTTGGCCTGACTCTCACTTCTAGTCTCTGTTTCTCTGACTATCAGGAACTTTTCCCCTGTGTTATTATGTGACCTAAACCCCTCATGACTCATGATATTTAATGATGTTCTCTTTGTCTCTTTATCTCTGTTTCTCTGTCTCTCTCATTCTGACTGTATGTGTGTCTGTCTCAGTGTGCCTGTGTGTGGTGTTTCTGACTTGCCCTTAGTCCTATTTCACTGGAAAACCCTGAAAAATAAAGAACTCTAAGAAACAAGATACTATACAGAAGCCACTAAGAAAAGGATCTTCAGTTTCTCTGGGAAAGAGGAAGCAAGTCATTGCTATAAAATTATCTTGCTTGGGTAAAACTAACTGGAGTGAAATAGTTGGAGCTAATGAATGTATAGTTTGTAGTTTTTGTTACTTTCTTTTTTTATATTTCTTTCAAAAGTGAATCTCCATTAGTTGTATTCAGAGCCATCAATAAAAAGTGTCACTTAACCTTTCAAATTTTTTTTTTTTCTCAGCCGATAATACTTCATAAACTGTCAGGAAGGTGACATCAGTTAGTCAATGAGAAGTGCTTGTTGCAGCCTGAGCAGTTAGTGAATGTCGCTTGTACTCTCTGATAGGTGTGGACAGAGTCCAGTGTTCTGGTGATCGAGAATTAGCTCACCAGCTTCAACAAGAAGAAGACAGGAAGAGGAAATCTGAAGAATCAAGACAAGAAAGGGAAGAGTTCCAGAAGTTGCAGGTACAAAAATTAGTAACAGTTTTATTGAGTAGAGTTCTTATTTCCCAAATATATTTTAGAGATGTTAACTTATGTATGAAGATATGACTCCACCATTAAAAGGTTAAAGCTCACAGCCAAAAAGATTTCTACCTAGCCTGTCCATGTTATGTTAAAATATATTTTCATCTGTGTCCTCTATAGTTTGTTGGGATGGGGGACACAGTTCTCCAAAGCTGCAAAGCAAGCAGAGTGCTTGCTGCTCCAGCAGAGGGCTTGAGTTCATTTCCCAGTCCCGACGTCAGGCAGCTTATACCTGCTTATAATTCCAGCTCCAGGATCTGTTCCCTCTTCTACCTTCACAGTCACAAGCTCCCTCCCCCAATAAATAAAGAAAAAGAAGAAAGGAAGAAAATGTAGCCATTCTTGACTGTATATGTAGTACATGCTTTTAGTCCCAGCATTAGGGAGACAGAGGAAGGTGAATAAATGTCTTGAGTTTGAGGTCAACCTGGGAACCATCTCAAAAAACCCCCAAAATAAAACAAAACAGTGTAGCCATCTGTTCAGATACTAGAATAATCATTTCAGATAAAATATGTGAAAAAATTCACAGAAAACAAACAATTTTGTTTTCATTTTTCTTTCTCTTGTGTGTTTAAATGAAGAATCAAAATAAAGTGTTTTGTTCCATGTTAGATAGCTATCAGTTAGAAAAGTGTGCACATAAAACTATGCAAGTGACGGGCAGATTGTGACACTATACTGAGAATCTGTCTGTCTGCTTAAAATTAGTGTGTATCTCTCTGTTGACTAGATTTCTGTCCTTCCCAGTTCCCACAGGCATTAAGTCCCAAAGAAATCACACAGAGGTCTACATTAATCATAAACTGATTGGCCCATTATCTCAGGCTTCTTATTAACTCTTATAGCTTACATTAGTCCATTATTCTTACCTGTGTTAGCCACATGGCTCAGTACCTTTTTTCAGCAGTGTAGTCACATCTTGCTTCTTCTGTGTCTGGACAGGACTGCTGAGGGAGCTTCTCTCTTTCAAGAATTCTCCTGTTCTCATAGACCCACCTCTACTTCCTGTCTGGTTGTCCCGCCTATACTTTCTGCCTGGCTACTGACCAATCAGCATTTATTTAAAATATAATTGACAGAATACAATTGTCCCACACCATCTCTCCTTAGTGTTAAGTTCCTTTAAGGATCACGACCTCTGGACTGGAGAGACAGCCCAGAAATTAAGAGCACCAGATTTAGTTCCCAGTACCTACATGGCAGCTTACAATTTCAGACATTTTTATTTAACGAAAGTTCAGAGGTTGGTGTTTCATAATATCTGAGGGCACATTTTTCTCATATGAATGTAGTCTCTGTTGGATTAAACTTGCAGCATCTGAGGATGTTTAGTGCATTGAATTTTTTAATACATGTTTCTCCTTTTTCATTTCTAGTTTGTGCACTATAATTATTTGTGTTGATAATGCATGTAGAGTTTTTAAATGCCATTTATATATGTTAATAGAATAGTTAAATATAAAGGTTTATGAGTAAATATATCTGAAAATCTTCCCTAATTTACATACATCTGAAAGCCTTTTTTCTCAGACACATACATATAACTATTTTTCCTTGAACTGTGTTTTGGAAAATCTAATTTAGGATTTTCACCACTTCACAATTACCAATCTTCTACTTCTTCAGCCTCTGAAGTTCTTAGGACACAAGCAGAATGAAGCCAGATTCTTGCCAGAATGAATCCCTAATGACTTCTAGCCCAGTTTACCTCTGAAACCTCCTGAATCAGGCCTCCACTCTTCACATGGTCCTAGCATTCTGGTCTCCCTACTCTATCAGAATGGCCCCTTAAGCCCTGCTTACAGTATTCTAGGGCCTTTTGAGCCTGGAGTTCCAAACTCTTCCACAGTCCTCCTCATAAACAGGTTTCAACGGCATAAGAACTCTCCGGACAGGTTGACTACAGTAGAAGCCCACTCCTTAGTAAGCTTTTTTAGACCTTAGTTGTTGCTTTGATGGAATAAGTGTCAAGAAGCACTTTATGGAAAGAGGGTTTATGTATAGTGTGAGGAAGAATGCTGGTCACATTGCATTTACAGCCAGAAGCAGGGCCAGATGAGCTACTTTATCCTTTCTATTCAGTCTGTGAGTAGCTGTGGGATGCGCCATGTTTAGGGTGGGTTTCCATCTCTATTAGCTCAATCTAGACAACCCACAGACATACCCTAAAATGTTCCTGTGGTAAATTTAAGTCACCTCAACCCTAATAAGATTAACCATGACAAAGATTTAACTTTGTAAGTTGTTTAGATCTCAGGAAGTCTATCCATAAGGCGTTTTATACATTTGAATGTCTCAGTACAGTTTGCAAAAACACAGCTCACTTACTCTGTAGCATGATTGATTGATTTGATGACAAAGTGGGACTTTGTGGATGAGTGTTGGGACAGAATCACAAATTCCCATTACAAACTGTATCCTGAGAATTGTGCCTTTAGCAGAAAGATAGTTCTTTCATTCCAATATTAGAAGGAAAGCAACTAATTATTTCTTAGAGCTACAGAAGCTTACAGAGAAATATCTAGTTATTAAATTATGGATATATGGTTTAATTATTATGAAAATCTTAACATTTACTTGTATGAAAAATCCATTAGCCAGACTATGTTAATATACATCCCCCCCCCAAAAAAAATAAGTTGAAAGTTTCCATTTGCTTGAAGAACAGGGATATAAAAAATAAGTTATTTGTTTTGTGTTTATTAGCGGCAGTATGGTTTAGATAATTCTGGTGGATACAGACAACAGCAGCTACGGTACATGGAGATGGAAGTAAACAGGGGAAGAATGCATCCCTCTGAATTTCACAGCAGAAAAGCAGACATGATGGAATCAATAGCTATTGGTATTGATGATGGAAAAACGAAAACTTCCGGTGAGTGCTTGAAAATACAAGTTGCAGTTTACTGTTGTATGTGCTACTGGAGTAATAAATTTAATGTTGCATACGTCACTGGGGTAATATAGTCGTTTGAATTTGCTGGATTTTTTTGTCAACAGTTAATGTAGTTTGAGGTGAGATTGTATTTCACATATTTTTTCCAAATATTTAAAACTAAACTCCTATTTTATAGTAAATAATTCATTTAAAATAATTTAGTTTCCCTTGTATTAACTCACAGCAATGGGAAATGAACCTTTAGGTTTTTTTAAACATTTTATTAGCATATGTTAATGTTTATTTGGCTTTGGTTAAGGGTTACTTGTAAGAACATAAATGAAGGGTCAGAAAAAAAGATGTGTGTTTCACCACTTCCCCACCCTAGGAGCCATTATCTTCCTATAGATCTGAGGGAGGTGAGGGCCTCACGAGCTCCTATCCTGTAATGGTTTAATGTCTATAAATCGTCAGAGATGGGTGTGTTCTTGCGACCACCCCTCTCCTCTCTGACAGAGTTTTGGTGTAACATGATCGGCCAGGCCTGCTTGTTGTTTTTTGCCCTGCCCGGTACCCCACAACTGTTTAGCTCCAAAGAAAATCACACATAGGTCTCTATAAGTTATAAAGCTGATTGGCCCATTAGCTCTAGCTTCTCACTGGCTAACTCTCATATCTTGATTAACCTATTTTTCTTATCTATATTGGCCATGTGGCTCAGTACCTTTTTTCTGTGGGGCAGATCACATCCTGCTGCTTTGGTGGTCTGGGCAGGAGTGAGAGGAATCAACTTCCTCCTTCCTAGAATTCTCCTGTTCTCATTGTATCATTTCTACTTCCTGTCTGGTTTTCCCACTTCTACGTCCTGCCTGGCCAATCAGCGTTTATTTAAAACATGATGACAAAATACAGGCAATTTTCCTGCACCATTTTGGTAACCTGAGTACTGTTCAGATAGGCTTTGCTACTAAGGTTGAGAGCCAGAAACCCTTCGGTGCCCCCTCTTCCTTAATGGTTCCTGAGCCTTGGAGGGGTTAATGTAGATATACCACTTAGGGTTGAATATCAAATAGTCATTATTCTCACTAAGTTCTTTGACCAGTTAATGACACCCACTACCAAACATTAATCTATGGGTGTAAATATAACCATTTAGAAGGCAATTTGATAGGCATAGCATGTCAATTTGGCAAACTATAATAGCTTTCCCACTAAGGCTGACTCTTTAATATGGTTGTATGATATCATTGCTAAGACAAAGTTTGCCAGGAAATGAGGTATTTCTGTCTTACATCTAATAAGCATGCCAGTGTGTGTGTGTGTGTATATATAATATGTATATATAATACATATTATATATATATATAATTTTATTCTTATAGGTTTTCCCCCTTTTCCTTCTTAAAGTACTGTCCTAAACCTGGATTCCATCTGAGTCCTTTATCTTTCTGTTGCTAGAGTGTCTGTTTCATGCCACTTCATCATTTTTTCTCTCCATGAGTAAACTTACTATTCAGTCACAAGTCATTTTTGTTGTTCTTTTTCTTTAAAGTAAGACTTGTTTAGGTATTATTGTTTTAAATTTATATCATGTTTTTCTTCATGATAGTGGGCACAGCTGTAGCTATTGGTAAAATGATTATTTTGAATTTTTTTTTAAATTTGTCTCCCTAAAAACATTTCCATGTATTTCATTCAAATAAAATACATGTAATGACTTTTCTTTTTCATACCCCATGCTGTGAGAAAACATGAACTACATAAAAGGCACCACTGCCCATTGTCATCCAAGTTTTTAAAGAAGACAGATTTTTTTTTTACACAGAACTACAATGTTCTGCTGTGACACAATGTGACTACATAATAAGTAGGGGTCATGAAAAAATAAATGTTCTGATTGTTTTTGTAGAGTAAGAAAAAAGTTACTTGAAGGTGATGTTTGGTTCTTCCAGGATTTTTACAATTCTAAGAAGAAGAAGTAGAAGAAGAATTTTCAAAAGGAAGAACCACATGTAAACTTGTCCAAATATCTTGCTTAACTAAATTCTAGACATTGGTCTACGGTCATGTTTCTAGAAATATTGTCATATTTATTTTTCTTTGCTTAGCACTTACTATCCTGTTATGTATACAAAGTATAGTACTGAAGTTAAATTATAAGCTCAGGTGCAGAATATTTGCTTGTTAGGTCAATAATAATAATAATAAGAATTGAAGGTCAGATGCAGGACACTGGCTTAAGCTTTATATTCTGCAGATTAGTACTAATGCTGTAGACTAGCAGGAGACATACACTTTCAGGTGGAAGCAGACTGATGAAGACTGAGCAAGCTCTAGTGGTTAGTGTAACAAATGGAAAGACAAGAAGAGCATTTGTTCTATAAGGGTGGGTACTCTTGTGTCCCAGGCTTTGCAGTTGAAGAGCTTAAGGATGCAGACACCTTCAGGTCATTGCAGGGAGAACTATTTTAGTGTTAGAAAACGTAGGTTTATTTTCATGTTAGAAAACTTGGATTTTGGGTCAGTGAGATCATGAGCTAAGGTCGTAGTGTGAGATGATAAATTAAAAGTGGACTTGGTGGGTGTTTTCTGTGGAGCTTGAAGCTGATGTTAGACATGAACAACCGTGTAATGGAGATAATGAATCTTCTTCAGTATTCCAAATCTCTTCTATTCTAGGAATTATTGAAGCCCTCCATAGATATTATCAGAACACTGCCACAGATGTGAGGTGTGTGTGGCTCTCTACAGTGGTGGACCACTTTCATTCATCCTTTGGGGACAAAGGTTGGGGTTGTGGTTATAGAAATTTCCAGATGCTACTTTCATCATTACTACAAAACGATGTGTATGGTGACTGCTTGAAAGGTATGTAAAGTACTGTTATTCTCTGAGTTTATACACACAGAGGGTCTTGCCAAGAAATGTCTTAGAAATTGGGTTTTAGTAGAATACATGTTACTATGGGGTATAATTGTTCAGCATATTAGTACCTGACCTTGTGACTTGTTTTGCTTACATGATTCCAGGTATGTCCATTCCTTGTATTCCAAAAATTCAGTCCATGATTGAAGATGCATGGAAGGAAGGTTTTGATCCTCAGGGAGCCTGTCAACTTAATAACAAATTGCAGGGAACAAAGGCCTGGATTGGAGCTTGTGAGATTTATACACTTCTGACCTCACTGAGAGTAAAGTATGTACCTGCAAACTCCAGTTAACATTATTGCATTCAATTGCAGATTACCGGCATTAAATTTAGTCAGACTAAAGTTCACTGCCTTAGTTATTTTTTTCCATGCTGTAATAAAATGTGCTAGCCAAAGTAACTTAAGTGAGGAAGGTTTATTTTGGCTTACCTTTCAAAGGATACAGCCCACTGTGGTGGGGAAACATAAGGTGCAGAAAGTAGACTGGCTGTCATATTGCATCAGCAGTCAAGAAGCATAGTATCAAGTAGGAAATGGGAACCTGCTATAAAGTTCCAGACCTGCCTCCAGTGATCTTCCTCCAGCAAGCCTCCACCCCCTAGAGTTTTCACAACCTTCGCAAATAGCTCTTCCTGCTGAGGATCAAGTCTAATGTGAGCCTACAAGGGACAGTGCACATTCAGAGTATGGCAGAAACCATTAACAGTTTTTTATCTTTTTGAGATTTTATTGCTATGATGCATTGTTTGTGGTGGAATTTAAAATAATCAAGCTATTAAATGCTTTTGGTTATGCTTTATAGTACTTTTTTGTGTGTGTGTGTGTGGCGTAGAAGTGAACCTAGTTCAACAATCTGATTTATTCAAGATTACTTAAAGGAAACTTGCCACCATAGTCTGGGCCAGACAGGAGACACTGGGTGGAGAGGGGAGAACTCACATATTCCTATGCTGTTCACCAGTATTGTCTGTAACAGGAACTAAAAAAAAAAAAATCAAATATACTCTGAATTTTTTTATATTTACTTATTTATTTTTGGAGTAAAGTATTTAGAATGCTTTTGATGTAAAAATGACTACTACTGAGGATTAAAATCAGAATTCAGATTTTTTCTTTTAAATAAAGACACAATAACTTGATTGAAGATTTTAATTATTTCTGTGTTTACACTTAACGCTGAGTAGAAAAACCTCTGTAAGAAGTTGTTTTCTTTAAAAACAAAAACCATGAAAGTTATTAATTTACAGGTTTTGTGTTATGTGTATATGTGCATGTTTGTGTTTATGTGAACATGAGTGTGGTGCCTTTGGACCCTGTAGTGCTGAAGTTAACAGGCGACTGTGACCAAATGTGGGTCTTCCGCAAGAGTAGTGTGTGCTTTTAACCACTGAGCTATTTCTCTAAATCTCTATATTTTTGTTATTATGCATGTGTTGGAGAGTGCCTGTGGAGGTCAGAAATCTAATGTGTGGAGTTGGTTTCCCCATCTTCCTTGATGTGGGTCCCAGGGATTCAACTCAGGTCATCAGGCTTTCAAAACAAACATCCTTACCCATGGAGCTATCTCTCCAGCCTCTGGCTGGCAAGTTTGTAGCTGATCATCAGGGATAGGGACATTAGAATAAAAGTGATTGTGTCCCATGTTATAGCACATGGGTTTTAAAAGTCCAGCATGCTTCTTATTTGCTGTGCAGGGAATATGTTAGGAAATCATTGTAATTTTTAGCTCATTCATGAGCTATGAGTGGTGATTTGAGTTATTATTTTCCCCACAAAATGATAGTTTTTCTAAATGGTTAAAATTCATATTTAATTTTTTCTTCATAGGGAAGTCATTAATACATAAAATTGTTCTGGATCAAGTTTTTTTTTTTTCAAATTACATTTATGCAAAAATTTGTAAAATATCTCTAAACTATTTTCTTTGTCAATTGTTTAGGTGCCGCATTATTGATTTTCACAAGTCAACTGGTCCATCGGGTACACACCCTCGCTTATTTGAATGGATATTGAACTATTATTCTTCAGCTAGAGAAGGGAATCCAAAGGTTGTGTGGACATCTAAACCTCCTGTCTATCTCCAGCACCAGGGTTAGTAGATCACACACACAACTATCATTTTTAAGACAGCAGATTGGCTGTTGCTTAAGGAAGGTCAAGATTGCAATAGCAGAGGTGACAGGGTGGAGGGGGGCGCTGTTATGACTGGCTGTCAGAGCTACTTGTCATTCTGGTATGTTCTTGGGTGACACAGCATCTTGGGGCCTTTCCACTTCTTGTGGTCTTTTTCTGGTTCACTGCTCATTATCCATCCCTTTCCTTCTTCCAGTCTTTACTCATTTGTCACTATGTTAAGCCTTTCTAGACTGTACTTATTTAAAACAGCAAGTCTGTGTGTGTTTATGTGCGTGTGTTCTAAACACACAAAAACCCACACAGAGACTGTGAATGTATATATAGTAATAACTGTACAGATGTGAGATATTAACTGATATTTATACTTTGCTAGGTCATAGTCGAACAATTGTTGGCATTGAAGAGAAGAAAAACCGGACGTTATGTTTACTAATATTTGATCCTGGATGTTCTTCCCGAGAAATGCAGAGATTGTTAAAGCAAGACATAGAGCCTGGTAGTCTCAGGCAGCTGCGGAAATCTGTGGGGAATCTTAAACATAAGCAGTACCAGATAGTAGCAGTTGAGGGCGTTCTTTCACCAGAGGAGAAAGTTGTAAGTATCTCAGTATCAGGTGAAGTCACTTAAAAGTTTTAGTTAAAATCAACATTCTCTCTCTTTATCTCCTCACAACTCTTCTATTTCATGAAATGGCAAATACATTTGTCTTTGATGTCACTGGATATCTGGAATGGCCATTTTTAAATTTAGATAGTATCTAAATGTCAGTTGCTTAATTCATTTTCATAAAATATTTAAGTTTGTTTTACCTTTTGATGTCAGGTAAGTGATCAGTAACAATAATGTTATGAAAACAATGTGTAACCTAACTCAGGTGGTCTTACTGTTTATCACAATAGATTCAGGAGCTATATCTTATCCTTCGACCTTCTGAGTATACTCAGTTCAAGAACAACTCTTGCCTTTATCATTTATAGTTAAGTGATGAGTTCCAAATTACTGAAGAATTTCTAGGCATTAGAAAACCTACACTGAGGTTGTAAGCTGCTGTGGCATCATAGCACACTAAGCCTAGACAATGCATGAGATCCCAGAATCTTAAATTTTCTTTTTTCTTTTTTTTTCTTTTTGTTCTTTGTTTTTTCTTTTCTTTTTTTATTTTTCTTTTAAGATTTTATTTTTTATTTTTAATTGCATGTGTTTGTGTGTGTCTTTAAGTGTGGTATTGTACATGGAGTGCAATACTCATGGAAGCCAGAAGAGGGCATAGATGCCATGGAGTTTGTGTAGCAGGTGGTTTGTGAGCTGCTGGATTTGGGTCCTGGGAAATTCATTTGGGCCTCCTGCAAGAGCACTATGTCCTCATAACCATTGAGCACATCTGCAGCCCTGGTGTGGGAATTCTACGAGAAAATTAAAAAGAGTACTTATTTGAGAACTTCATATTTGTTTCCCTCTAAAGATGAGACAGAATACTCATGAGGGACATGGGCTGGGATTAAAGGCGTGCACCACCATCGCCCGGCCAGGTGAACAACATTTTAAGTGGCTTTTATGTTTCCAGTTTTATAAAGTGAGTCATTGTTGCTGCTAAAATACTAAACATGTCTTTTCTGTGCTTTACTTTTGACTTTGTTTTTTTTGGGGGGCGGGATTGCAGGGTTTGTTAGATCATAGCTGTGCCTTTAAGAATTACAGCTACTAAGGACTTTACATGTTTCACTGTATAGAACATCACTGTAGGGTAAATGGATATTGTTTCTGTGTTTCAAATGAGGATGCTTATAGTGAGTAGTGAAGTCAGATCTGCAGTGTAGCAGTTTATCCAGCACTTGGTCTTGTGTAGCCTCTTGGAAAAAGCTTCTTTTTAAGAAGTTTTACTAAATCATTTTTCTTTTTAATATTTCATACATGTATAAGGATGTGTTCTGATTATTCTCACTACCTTCACCTTTTCTGCTCTCCCCCACACCCGTATCAACTCACTCTTAGTTCTGATTTTTTTTCCCCAAAAGAAAAAGAAAATTGAGACAGGTCTTCTTCACAGTGTATCTGTGGCTGACCTGGGACTCATTATATAGACAAGACTGGCCTCAGAAATCACAGAGGTCAGCCTGCCTTTGCTTCCCAATGCTGAGATTACAGGTGTGCATCACCATGTACTGCCCTATTAAAGCTATTAAATTATGTTTATTTTTATGTAAATTTGTGTGTGTGTGTGTGTGCCTGTATGCAAACCACATAAGTGTTACACCAGAACATGGTGTCCCCTATACCCAGAGTTGTAGGTGGTCATGGCTTTTGGGAACTGAGCTTACATCTTTTGTAAGAACCACATCACCAAACACTGAGCTGTTTTTCTAGAAACCTATTTTCACTTAAAAATTTTTTTTCAACCTTTGAGACAAGGTTTCACGTGGCCCAGGCTGGTCTTGAGTTCACTGTGTAGCCTAGGTTAACATTTGTAGTAGGAGCTGCGGGCTGTGTTCCTGCAGCCCGGCTTTCAGCCACCGGCTAGCTTTACTTGAAATAACAACATGGAAACTGTATTCTTTTAAACACTGCATGGCCCATTATATCTAGCCTCTTCTTGGCTAACTCTTACATCTTGCTTAACCCATTTCTAATAATCTGTGTCTTACCGGGAAAGATTCAGCATGTCTGACCTGGCGGCTTGCTTCATCACGTGTCTGCCCTGGAGAGGAGAGGCATGGCATCTGCCTCACTTCCTCTTCCTCCCAGCATTCTGTTCTGTTTACTCCACCCACCTATGTTCTAACCTATCAGGCCAAGCAGTTTCTTTATTAATTAACCAATGAAAGCAACAGATTGATATGACACTCCCACATCACTCATTCTCTTACCTCAACATCATGGATTACTGGCATTTGATATTATGCCTGGCTTCTCTTCACATCTTGATAATAGTTGCTAATATACTTCAGTACATTCTTAGTTTTTATTTGGTTATTCCAGTACTCTGAATTTCAATTATCCTAATTTGTTTAGTTTAGCTGAGCTTAATATGCTTTAGTTTGTAAACCAAATTTGGAAGCAGCAGAAACAATGAAATTTTCCTTTATTCTTTTAATATTTTATTAACACTATGAATATTTTTTATATGTATAGAATGTATTTTGACCATGGTTTCCTCCTCTATTCCCCTTAAATTCTCCCAGATCCTTATCCACCAAGTCCTTATCATGTGCTTTATTTATCTTTTTTCCATAACCCACAGAGTCCAATTTTTTTCTCATATATTCCTGGTTATGAGACCAGCCACTGGAGCATGGTCAACTTACCAAGAGACATATCCTTAAAGAAACTGACTCTCCCTCATCCCCAAGTTAGATACAGTAACTCCTCACCCAGGAATGGTACAGCTGGAATACTAACTCATAATCAACAAGGGTTTTGTTGTTGTTGTTGTTGTTGTTGTTTTTGCTTTTGAGACAGGGTCCTACTCTACAGTTTTGGCTGTCCTGGAACTCACTATGTGGACCAGTCTAGACTTGAACTCACAGGGATCTACCTGCTTTTGCCTCCTCAGTAGTGGAATTATTTGCTCATAGCTCTATCATTCTTTTCACTTTTTCTTTGGTCCCCTATTGTTCCTCAAACCCCCTCCCATCTATATCATTGTGAGTCAGCAATTTTACATTTGACAGAGTCCATCAGATAACATTTTGTTTCACTCTATTTTGCCTTTATCTAGAATTTTCTTCATGACTTGACTTGTAAAATATATATTACTAATTTTTTAAGTTTTAGATCATAATTTTCCACTAGGACTTTTCATTGTTATCTTGAAAAAAGTACAGGTTTTATTTTCTACATTGAAATGATGATAAGACAGAGGGTTGATACAACTACTCAGCTGTCAAAAATACTTGCTACCAAGGCTGACCAACTCTAACTTCAAGATCCTCCTGTTATAAAGAGAGCTGACCTCTATAGCATACACAGGCATGCACGGATAAACAATACATGTATTTTTTTTAAAACTGATAACATAGTATATATAATTAATTTCTAGGTTATAATTCATAGACTGTTTTCTTCTTGATTCTTTTTCAAGGCCAGGAAACAGGCTTCTCAAGTGTTTACAGCGGAGAAGATTCCTTGAATGAAATATTTCGGTGATTTTGTACTTATCCTTTTTACTGATATTGAACTCTGATACAGTTGAAGAATTTGATTTCACTGAAGTCCTTGGTATAACATTTAATTTATAAGTGCCTGTTAAGTTATACTTCTTATTAATTCATTGTCTGTAATTAGTTGAATAAAATACCTTGTTTGCATTGTTGATTTTGATTTCTTGTCCATGTCTCACAAACTTGTTTTATAGTTCACAAGCTAATGGATTGGGCCATAACTTGTATGAGTTACTGAGTACTTAACATCTATTAATACATTTAATTTTAAAACAATTGTTTAAGGCAAACAATATTATTAACTCCAAGAACCCAGATGCCTGATAAATTAGCGATTTGCCCAGGAATATTACAAGATGGATCTCACAGCCAGCTCACTGTATTTTCCACTGTTGTGTCAATCAGGCCTTTATTGCGGTGACAAACACTCAATCCAATTCAAGGAGGAAGATTTCTTTTGCTTCAATATTTCAGTGTTGGGTGGGCTTACTCTGTGGTGAGACAACACCATGGCTGTAGTCTGCTGTGGTGCTATAGCAGATCCACTGACTCACTGTGGCCAAAAAGCAGAGTTGAGGCAGGAAGAGGCCAGGAACAAGCTATACTCAATGTGATATAGATCTCCAATAGGGATATCAGATAATCCACTAAATAACTGATTCACTGACAAGAACTTCTGATCCAATAAACTCAATAACTGGATCTACCAGTGAGTCCAAACTATGAGCACAAATGAGGTGCCTTTGAGGATGATGATGTTTTTGGTAGGGCGGAGCTCCTGTTATCACAAAATGAGTACCTCCTTAATGTGTAGTGATCACCTTAAAAAAACCAAGGATTCTCTTGTTAAATATTTCCACTAACCCTCCATCTCTCCTGAAAGCCTTTGTGACCTGGCCTGTAGGAAAAATACTAGATTCTGGTCAGACAACTCTTGTATGTGTGTGTACATGAGAATCCTATTATTCTGCTCAATAAACAAAGAATTATTGAAAGACTTAGAAATTCACAGAAACTGTGAGTAACTAAAAAAATGTCTTAGGACCAAATCAGTTATAGGCTATAGTTTGTTGTCAATTTTTAAAGCAGGAACAATCAATCAAGTTATAATTGTAGGATACTCAAATTTCAGATTACAAGCAGAGCACATTTGTTTGGCATAGAACGGAAGTTCCCAAAGGGAATGGATACTGAGCAACTTAAAAACTGTTCATTTAAAAAGCAAAATAAAAACCTGTGTGAAGTTTGTTAACATGAATTTCAGTCATCCAGTCTCCCAATGAGTCTTCCTGTCTTAATTTTTTTTCAACATTGAAGCCAAATGCTCTACCCTTTGCATTTGTTTGTGTGACCTAGTTTAATACTCTTTCTTGCTGGTTTGTAAAATTTAGCCTGTAGAAATGCCAGTGAAGTCCTTAGTAAATGTATATTGTTGACAAGGTCATGGTCATATCAAGGGTCAATGCCTCAGCCTCATTGGAATGGCAAAACCTTCTTTTGGTGAAGCTCAGAGGGGCATCAAAGCCTTTCCTAGGGTCTGAGTGTGAATACTGGCAGTGAGTGCAGAACATATCCCCTGTAGCTTTCTCACTGCTCCTCTCTAACACCTGATGTTTATGGTATGAAGACTAATACCCTACAGAGACTTCTATGTCTACTAAAATTAGTCAAACCTGCCTCCTTGTTCAGCTGTATATAATAATCCTGCCTCCTGCTCTGGCTGTATGTATGCAAAAATTATGGCTCCCTGTTCTAGTGTGTACAATAAAGCCACCGAGATTCAGGGTTGCTGAGGTTTCTTCATCAGAGAGCCCAGTTTTCCTGATTCCAGTTTTTTTCTGTGTCTCTGTGTTTTTCTTTTCTTTGTTTCCTCACCTCTGTCATATCAATTCCTAAAGCCCTGGCACCAGCCTTCCACACTATCCAGCCTCTGCTTGCTTCTGCAGGCTCAACAATCACTCCCCCATCCTGCCCTGACAAGTACCTTTCACTGGAAGTTGCATTTACCCTAAAATCCCTTCCAAAATGCTGCCCCTGCTGCTGGGCACCCTTCTGGTGTTGCTTTTGTTGGTCAATGAATAAAGAATCTGTTTTGTGGGTTGGAGAGATGGCTCAGAGGTTAAGAGCACAGGCTGCTCCTCCAGAGGTCCTCATTTCAATTCCCAGCCACCACATGGTGGCTCACAACCATCTGTAATGAGATCTGGCACTCTGGCATATGGGCATACGTGGAGGCATAATAAATAAATTTTAAAAAATAGTTTAAGAAAAGAATCTGTTTTGGTGCTGTGATAGGGCAGAACAGAGCTAGCAGGGAAAACTAAACTGAATTGTGGGAGAAAGATGGCAGAGTCAAGTAGATACCATGAAGCCCCAGAACCTTGCCAGTAAGCCACAGCCATGTGGCGATACTTTAAAGATATCTTGTCTTCAAACTTTGCGTCTAAGAATATGTTGCTTTGGAAAAAGTTCTTTTGTTTCCACAGAGAATGAGAGCCTTTGGAATCCTTACCAGCTAATGTGTGAACCAAGATCCCCTGAGAGTTTGCCTTGAACACCCCTAAATACTTTGCCCCCCCCCAAAAAAAACAGCAGGAAGCAGTTTGGTGAGACCTTTACCTCAGTTCCCAAATATTGTTTATAAATGTTTGTTTACATTTAAAGTGTATTGTTGGGTTTCTTTTCTGCCCAGTTTCCATGGTTGTTAAGTCCCAAAGAAATCACACATAGGTCTACATTAGTTATAAACTGATTGGCCTATTAGCTCAGGCTTCTTACTTTTATAACTTATATTAGCCCATTATTCTTGTCTATGTTAGCCACGTGGCTTGTTACCTTTTTAGTGTGGCAGTCACATCTTGCTTCTGTGGCTGGGTCACGGCTCCTGAGAGAATAGGGTTTTCTCTTCTCAGAATTCTGTTCTCATTGACCTGCTTCTACTTCCTGTATGGTTGTCTTGCCTATACTTCCTGCTGAGCTACTGGCCAATCATTTATTTAAAATATAATTGACAGAATATAGACATTTGTTCCACACCACTTCTTCCTCTTATTTTTCTTTTTAAAAACAAGAACTCTGAATCTAATATCCTTTGTTTAACTTTTTTCCTGACCATTAGCCATAACAACTTGTAACCAACATTCTAAACAAAGAAAATATCCATAATCCATTTTTTGGGAATGTGAGCATAGTATTCCAGGCTACTTTCTGCTCGTTGTGTGCACTGATAATCTAATGGAGACCTAGAGAAAATTTAGAATTATTTTCAAGTTCTGACTGGAGTATTCTGTGAGTCTTGATCATCTCAAGCAGCAGGCTTGAATCTCTTCTGGATATAGAACTCAGACATTTGGGCCATTTGTTCCTACTGGAGATTTCTCAGGTGGTCTTCCTTGATCAAACCTGATTTTTCTTAACTCAGAATGAATCCACAGCCTCTCATTTCCTGTGGAAACAAAAGCAAATTCTCTTCTCCAAAGTAATATACCTTTTGACTTCAATTTTGAAATCAAGGTATTTTCAAAATACCTATAAATGATGCTATAATTTAGCATCGTTTATAAATATCTTTTAGCAGCTCTTGCTCCTTCCTCAGCATTTAAACAGTTCAAAGAGTATATAACATACAGTATCCAGACTCTCTGTGTATTTTTCATCTTTACTTGGCTTTATTTTAAATTCTATTTGTTTTGTTTTTATTTTTTGATTTTTTGCTTTTCAAGACAGGTTGTCTGTGTATCTTTGGCTGTCCTGAAACTCCCTCTGTAGACCAAGCTGTGAACTCACAGAGGTCTGCCTGCCTCTGCCTCCCAAGTGCTGGGTTTAAAAGTGTATGCCGCCACAACTTGAGCTTACAGAGGTCTATCTGCCTCTGTCTCCCAAGTGTTGGGATTAAAGGTGTGTGCCACCATACCCAACTACTCTCTGTTTTTAAAAGGACTTTAACCTTTTTCTTTTCACTCCCAAGCCTGCATATATTTTTAATACATTGTAAAACATTTAGAGGTTTTCTTCTTATTTGAGACTCTCTTTACTGTATACCTCTTTTTCTGACACGTAATTCTTTAATTTGCTAAGCAATATGTAGAAGATTAAAGCGATGGCCTTGACGGCTGGATCAAGCCCATTCCTTAGCTTTCTGAGAATCCGGCCTCATGGTAAGGTACTGGCTGGAGCCATGTTTATTGCCACAACTCTATGGTGTTTCAAGGTTCTTGCCAGCAAGCAAGTTGCAACTGAGTGCTCACAAACCACACTTAAATGCTCTGTAGCTGGACCTCCTGCCTGAAAGAGTTAGAGTTTGCACTGTCAGGACAGTCCTGAAAGCTGGCGTTTTAAAACAGCACGGCTTTTTTCCTGCTATGACTAAAAACTAAAATGCATGTGGTCAGCTTTTCATCAGTTCTGTTTAAGTGTTTCATGGCATGGCCTCTTAAAAGAGCTGCAAAGTTTTGCAGCTAAAGCTGAGTTAGGAAGCCTCTCTTAAATGAGAGGGCTTGCTTGTGTCTAACAAGCAGAGTGGACCCAAGAAATTGCTGCTACCAAGAAGCCATGCTTTATTCTTTTTTGTCTAGAATCACTTTCCAACCTCTCCCAGGCTTTATGTGGTGTAGTCCACACGTTGGGCACCATTTGTTGACTGAGTTTCTGTCGCACCTGGCCCCACGTTGGGTGCCATTTGTTGTTGGGGCTTCTGTCCTGCCCAGTTTCCATAGTTGTTAAGTCCCAAAGAAACCACACAAAGGTCTACATTAATTATAAACTGATTGTCCCATTAGCTCAGGCTTCTTATTAACTTTTTAACTTATATTAGTCCATTATTCTTGTCTACGTTAGCCTCATGGCTCAGTACCTTTTTTAGTGAGGCAGTCACATCTTGCTTCTTCTGTGGCTAGGTTACGACTGCCGAGAGAATGGGGTTTCCTCTTCCCAAAATCCTGTTCTTTGACCTGCCTCAACTTTCTGTCTGGTTGTCCCACCTATACTTCTTGCCTGGCTACTGGCCAATCATTTATTTAAAATATAATTGACAGAATATAGACATTTGTCCCACAAAAGTGGGATAGGATATAGACATGAATACTTTGCATTGGTATGGATCTCGGTTTATTGATACAAATTTAAGGTCAATTTTGTTATACTGTATATATGTATTTCTGCTCTTGATTAAGGTACTGTGTTTATGCAGTTCATTTAAAGATGTAATGTATAATTAAGAAATATAGGTTAATAGATAGTCATCTATAATAGTCAAGCTTGTAAGTCATGTTAGTGAGATTTTCTAGACATAGATATATATTTCAGTTAAATAGGTATTATTCAAATCTTTCAAGGACTAACAGAATATGGCATTTAAACATTTTAAAAACTTAGGACTTTTCATGACAATGAGATACATCTGTTGCTGGCAGCACCAAGCTACTTCAAGAGGATGACGGGCACCAAAGAGGCTCCTTAAGAAACAGCTCTTACCTGGACTGCTTGATACTATGCTGTATGAGCTAGACCTGCAGGACGACAGAAAAATGATTGCTGAACTTGTGTAAAGGTGAAATGATTCTTCGGGGTTCCTGCTTCATCAAAGAGTCTGCTAGACATTCTGCAGGACACAGAAAAAAAGTGACTGACAAACTGTCAATATAGGTGGAACTGTCTTTGAAATTTCCTGCTTCATGAAAAAGTCTGCCAGATACTATGGACTATATGAAGATGGGTGGCTGCAGTGTTACAAAAGAACTTTGGGAGACTGTCCAGGCAGCCCGATGTCTTTGTGAATGCTAATGTTTTAGAAGTTGCTTACAATGCACACTTCCTGTTTACTTAGGTAATATATCCTTCTGTAGTCTTTGATGTTGTAGAAAATCTCTGTAAAAAAATTAAATAATTGAATAACTGAAGAAGGCCCTTTCTTGAAGAAGGTCTAGATACAAGGTGCATTTTTTTTGACAAGATCTGGCTGGTTTATTTTAAATTTAATTTTATGCACATTGGTGAAGATGTCAGATCCCTTGGAGTTGGAGAATAGTTATAGTTTTCCTTAGTTACATAAAAGATGAAGTATATATTAATATTGTAACTGTAATTCTCGCTTGATATCTCTTTTTTATATGTATTTTACTTTGTTAAAGTTAAAACCTTCCTTTTTATTTAGACTAAGAAGGGGAGATGATGTCAGAAGTCCTTCTGTATATGTGTTGCTTTTATTGGTTAATGTGTAAGGAAACTCTTTTGGGCCTGTTATAGGGTAGAATAGAGCTATGTGGGCAAAACTAAACTGAATGCTGGGAGAATGAAGGTGGATCAAGTAGATGCCATGTAGGCCCTCCAGAGACAGTTGCCAGACAGATTTTTATCTGTTAAGCCACAGCCAGGTGGTGATTCCACCATAGTAGTCTATGCAGTGACTCATAAGTATTTTAAATCTGCTCAAGTATTGAGTAGACACCTTCTGATTTACCACAGTTTTACTCAAAATTATAGTCCAGTGATCTACAATCTCTCACTCTATGACAAGGGAGGTAGAAAAGTGTAAATTGCTGATTGCTTTCTAAAAGTAACACCGTTGTCACAATTTCGTAAAGATTTATTTTTATTTGAGGGTGTGTGTGCGCTTGTGTGTCCTTTGGAAGAGGTATCAAATCTGACAGAACTGGAGTTAACAGTTAGTTGTTTAGCTGCCCAGTTTGATTTCTGGGAACTGAACCCAAGTCCTCTGCAACAACAAGAATAAGTGCTCTTAACCATTGAGCCATCTCTCCAGTCCCTGGTTATCAAAGTTTTAAATTCCATATGCCTTGATACTGAAAATCTAGGCATTTCCAAGAAGCGTTGTGAATTATAACTTTCAATACTTGCTGAATTTGAAATTAAATTTGAGCATTGTGGTACACAATTTAATCCCAGCTCTTGGGAGGCAGAGGCAGACAGATTTCTGTGAGTTTGAGGTTATCCTGGCCTACAGAGTTAGTTGCAAGACAACCAGAGATACATAGTGAAATCCTGTTGGAGAGATCTTTCGCAATCAGGATTACTTAAGTGTTAATTACCTGAGTTGTAGCTATTAAAACAGTGACGTGCTCATATGAGCTGGAAAATCCACTGGGCAACTTCCTGTACAGCAGCTCTTTATATGCAGTCTCAAATGTGATATATTTTTTTCAGGGTTTGTTATTTTCAAGACGTGGTTTCCCTGTGTAGCACTGGCTGTCCTGGGACTCGCTAAGTTAACCAGGGTGGCCTTGGATTAAAAAAGCTCTTTCTGCCTCTGCCTCCTCCCCCCCCCCCCACCCAAGTGCTAGGATTAAAGGTGTGTTTAAGCATACCTAATTTTTAAAACATTTTTTAAAGATTAACTATATGTGTGTTAGCACACGTGACTCGTGCACACATGCAGTTGCTGTGGAGCACAGGAAAGGACATTGGGACTAGACCTTGAGCCACCTGACTTGGGTGTTGGGAACTGTCCTCTGCAAGGGCAAAATATATATTAACCGCTGAGCCACCTCAGTTCCCCCACCCTAATCCCCCACTTAATAACTTTAAAGGAATGATATTTTGTACTATCATTTCCAACATACACATATATGTATTTTCAAAATATATGTATGTATATAAAATGAGTCTCCGTAAAAGATTTGTGTGTGTCAGTGCCACATCAAACTGGGCTAATTTCATGTTAGTCATTATTGTCATCATCTTCATCGTCAGTTTCTTCATTCTCCTCAGCTGAAAGTACAGTGGCCTCCTGTGTGGCCCTGGAAGCCTGTTCCTCACTCACACTGGGATCATCCATTTCTGTAATTTCTGGTCCACTGGGGTATTCTTGCTAGACTGGTAGCAGGCCTGGGATGCGTAATTCTCCATATTATACTTATGACCCCAGCCTATGTAGATGTTTTCAAACTTTCTGTGAGTGAAAAGAAAATAAAGTCATGTCTCTTTAGGAAGGTTGACCCCTTTATACTAGTAAGGTCTTGCTACTATATCTTGGAACCCTGTTTTGTTTTTTAAAACAGGGCGTTTAAATTGTCAGAGTGAAATTGTCCCCAGTAATTCATCAACTACTGGAAATTATTTTTTACTAAATTGCTAAGTTGGTTATGGAAAACAGCCAGAGGTCTGTAGAGATTGCTCAGAGGTTATGAGCATTGGCTGTTCTTTCAGAGGATCTGAGTTCAATTCCCAGCATGGCAGCTCACAACTGGCTTTGACATCTTCACCAATGTGTATAAAATTAAGTTTAAAAGAAACCAGCCAGATCTTATCAAAAATGCACCCTGTATCTAGACCTTCCTCAAGAAAGGGCCTTCTGCAGTTATTCAATTATTTATTTTTTTTCTTTTTTACAGAAATTTTCTACAAAGTTCAAAAGTTGCTAGCCTTGGCTGGATGAAGAATAAGAGGTGTAGCTAAAAGTGATGTGTTATTTTTTTCAGGCATGGTCATAGGAAATTGCAGATGCTTTTTCTTGTAGGCCTCACCTCACTTAGGACATGATGCATAACCAGTCGACAGACCCCTCCCCCTTTGCTAGAGGGAGTTTCAGTTAAGAACTCTGCCCCCAAGGCTGGTCATGCATCCCTAAATCAAGAACCTTCATCTGCCCCCAAGGCTGGTCATGCATCCCTAACTCAAGAGCCTTCTTCTGCCCCCAAGGCTGGTCATGCAACCCTAAGTAAAGAGCCTCCATTCTCAGTGTTCTGTCTCTGGCTGGAAGGCCCACCCCTTCACATGATCCCACCTACATCTCCATTAAACTTCTTCAATCTTTTTCATGTGGTTCCTTCTCAAAGAGATGACCACATATCAGTGACATACACAATTCTGCAAATCCATTTCATCCTTGGGAGAGAATAATGTGGGGGAGGGGAGTCAAAATTCTCTTCCTCATATTATCTTGGTAAATAATTAAAAGCTTGGCTTTTACTTGTTTTTTTCTCCCAATATAATATTTCTATTGATTATTTGGGAATTTCACATTATGCACTCCAATTACACTCACTTTGCAGTCCTTCCAAGTCTACCCCCAACCCTTGTGATCCCCCAAAAGGAAAAAAGAACCCCAAATGTCCAGTTTATGTTGCTCATATACTCACTGGAGCTTAGTCAAACTCCCTGTAGCCACTGGCTTTCACTTTTGTCTTAACTGTAGTTTCTAATTTTTTTCATATAATATATTTCATCATTTTCTTTTCTTTTCTCCAACTCCTTTCAAATCCCCTGTGCATCCAACTCAATTTTCTTTCTTAGAAACAATGGATCAGACACATACACACAAAATGTGTTTTGTGTTGGCCAACTAACACCTGAACATGGGTCATTAATGGCTAGTCTAACCAAGGCACCTTGGCTTTTACCTGTTCAGTTGTGCTTTCTGATACTAATTAAGAAAGAAACAGAAACAAGACAAATGAAACTGTGTTTTTCACAGCAAGGGATAAACTTTCTACTAAATTACTGAGTGAGTATTATAAGACCAGTCCATTATAGTTAAATGGGATAATTAAGATGATAAAGTACAACCCTGAATTTTCTAGCTCTGAACTTTATCTTTACTATATTACAGAAGCCATTTTAATAAATCACACACTATATATCTAACATGCCAAAGAGGAGTTAAGACAGTATTAACAACTGTGATAACATAATTTCCTGATCCTAAACAATTAGAATTGTCAGACACTAAGCAAGGCTTTTAAAGCCAAATGCTTATATGAATGTACTTTCAGTTTGTCTTTTATTTCTATGTAAAGTTTACCATGCAAGCTGAGAACATCCAGAGTCATTCCTATCTAGGATTCAAATCCCAAGCCATCTTATTTATGAATTTCAGCTAAACATAACTCAAAATATGTTTGTAATCATTCCTTTCTGGATTGTGACTTGAATATGCTTGGGACTGCCCTGCTTACGCTCAGTACACTATACACAGGACTGTTTCTGCCTTGGGTAAATGTATGGGCTCCCTGGACAAAAGCATCATCCTTCCATCCTTTGGCCAGAAAGGTGTATTGAAATGGGTTTCAATATCCTGCCTACCTGCTGCGGGTAAATAAATCCTTTCCCAGCTTTATGTTCTGGTGGGGCTGACTTTGGTTTTGCACTCATCAAAATATAAGCTGTGAAGTTTGGTTACAAATGGCTTTGTAAGTGGTCAGATACTTACTTGCCATTGGAAAAGGCATATGCTCCAGGCCAAAGATTGGATCTAAGGACAGCAATAGCATACTGTGGAATGAGATTTGAGGACAGCCGTGTTGTCCAAGAGGGTATATTCTGAATATCTGGAACCCAATGAGAAATTTATAAGCTTCAAAGAGAACAAGAATCTACTGGTAACTGAAGTGATTTTTATAAATATGGAACAGTCATCAACATTTGCTATAAAAAGTTAAAACATTTTCTTTATCCATTTTTTTGGTGGAGGGGCATCTAGATTGTTTCCATGTCTCGCTTTTACAAATAATGCTACTGTGAACATAGTTGAACAACTGCCTTTGTGGTGTGATTGAGAATCCTTTGGGTATATGCCCAAGAATGGTATTGTTGGACTTGAGATAGGTTGATCCCCATTTTTTCTGAGAAAATGCCATACTGATTTCCAAAGTGCCTGTGCTAGTTTGTACCCCCACCAGCAGTGGAGGAGCATTCCCTTACTCCACATCTTCTACAGCATAGGCTGTCATCAGTGTTTTTGATCTTAGCCATTCTGATGTACATTTACTCAGTGTTACTCAGCTGTAAAACAGCAAGGACATCTTGAGATTTGTAGGCAAATGGATGGAAGTAGAAAAAAAAATCCTGAGTGAGGTAACCGAGACACAGAAAGACAAAAGCAGTATGCATGCACTCATAAGTGGATATTAGACATGAAACAAAGGATAAACAGGCTGCAATCCACAAACCCAAGAAACTATGCAAAAATGAGGACTCTAAGATGGACACACATGGAAGGCACCAGGAAAGGGAAATAGTTAAGATCTCCTGGGCAGCCTGGGAAGAGGTAGAAGGGAGAGGATGGGGGATGAGAACTTGAGGGATTAAGAAGACCAAGTTGGGGGAGGCACAGAGGGGGAGAGCAATGAAAGATGTATCTTGATAGAGAAAGTCATTATGGTGTTTCCCTCTAAACAAGGACGACCCCACCTAAGACTCCTAGTCATAATGGAGAGCGTGTCTGAAAGGGCCTTGCCCTTTAATCAGATTAGTGACTACCTTTATTGTCATCATAAAACCTATATCCAGTAACTGTTGGAAGCTAATGCAGTGATCTACACCCAAACACTGGGTTGTAATTTAGTTGAAGAGAAGGAGAAGGAATCATAAGGACAAGGGCCAGTCATAACCATGTTTGGGAAAGCCACAGTCACAACTGACCTCAGCTAGTGGGAGCTTAGGGACTCAGGACTCATAGTTAGGGAATCTGCATGTACCAGAAATAAGCCCTCTGAATGTGAGTGACAGTTATCTGGCTTGATCTGTTGAGAGGACCCCTGGCAATGGGACCAGGACTCATCCTGGGTACATGAACTGACTTTTTGTAGCCCATTCTCTATGATGGGATGCCTTATACAGGGGGTGGGGGCTTGGTGCATCAGACTTTGTTGACTCCACAAGGGAGGGCTTACCTCTTCTGAGGAGTGGATGGGGGATGGGATGGGTAGAGGGAGCAGAAACTGGGCCTAATATGTAAAATGAAACAAAGTTTTAAAATGTAAAAAGATAAAAGAGAAGCTTGATATAAAAATCAATAGAGGGTTTTTTTTCTTTTTCGTTTTTCAAGGCAGGGTTTTTCTGTGTAACAGTCCTGGCTATCCTGGAAGTAGCTTTGTAGACCAGGCTGGCCTGGAACTCCATGAGATCCACCTGCTTCTGCCTCCAAAATGCTGAGATTAAAGGCATGAGCCACCACTACCTGTTTCAAGATAGTATTTTATGAGTGTCTTAGGGCAATATAATTGTATGGATGTATATATGCATATAGTGCGCATGTGTGCACACACTCGCACACACATATAGATTATGTATAAATATTTACATCATGTAAATATGTACAAACATTTTTGCAATGGAGGCTTTACTAAAGGAGAAGAAGTTTGTGTAGTCAGGGTGAATAGTTTCATCACCAAAGAAAAGACAAATCATTACTATGGGAAAAACCTAGTAAGAGTTGCAAGCAAAACAGAATAGGAAGAAACAATAGAGAGACAAATATAGATTAGACATTCGTTAGAGACCACACATAACGTTGTACCATAGCTGTGCCACGTGCTTGTGGTATACTGAAGGCAAGACAGGAGTGATGTCAGCCTTTCCTGTTAGTTACAGCCCATCCACGTTTCCTCTCTGCACCAGTCCTTCAGCTGCTCTCAAAGCACTAGTATAACCCAAAGCCTTCTTTACTCCCACCCTACAGAACCCAGGGAAGAAATAAGGGATGAGACCTAGCTCTCTGCCCCTCTTTAGGGTTTCCAACAGTTGCAAGTTTACCACACATGTGTAATATATAGCTTATGAGTCCTCATTAACAGTGTGTAAAGTTACCTAAATCTTCAGAGATTGGTGTCAAAAGAGGAGGCCCCACTTCCTGTTCTATGTAGTCAGGCTCTTCTCCTTTGTCTTCTTTTTCTTCATCTTCTTCTTCTTCCTCTTCCTCATTCTTTTGTATAGGATTGAACCAAGTACAGCGACCCTGGAGATGAATGTTGCAACATTTAGTAGATAAATGAGAATCTTAATAGTGTCAGAATATTCTTAATATATTCAGAATATATGGTTGGTAATTATCAAGACAAGACTTCTCTGTATGGGAAACTTGCCCAACTATTCTGATGCAGGTTCACTTTCTATGATCCTCCTGTGTAGCACAAATAATAAAAAGCCAGAGACATATATTGGGGTACAACCCAAAAACCAGAAAAGCAATGCAGCCAAGTCACTAGAGAAGGCTTACCTCTACCAAGACTAGGAGACGGCAGACTAAGCCTCTCTCTCCTCCCATTTTATATTCCCTCTAGTGCTGAGATTAAGGACATATGACTCCCGAGGATTGGGATTGAAGGTGTGAGACACCACTACCCAGATTTACTTTTGCATTGATCTTGTGTAGCTCAGGGTGGCCTTGACTTCACAGAGTCTGACTCTGTCTCCCAAATCCTGGGATTATAGATGTGTATCACCATTGCTTGAGCTCTAGTGGCTTTAGCTTTGCTTCTGGTCTTCAGGCAAGACTTATTTATCCAAATACAGATAATATCCCACTGCACTCCTACTTCAGTTTTCCCAGTGCTAGACTTGCTGACACATGCTGCCACACTGTGCTTCTTCTTTCTGTATGGTTTACCAAGTGTTATTTCCATTTGGGTTACTTCAGGAAAACAACAAACCTGTATGAGTTATTTCAATAATTTTACATTTCTTGAAGTTACAGAACTTTAAGGTCTATGCAGTCTTTAAAATAGGCAGAATCTTTACAGAAATGGTAGTAATACATTTAACTAGTTTGCTACGCTTTATATAAATAAAATAAATGGTGACTTTAAAAAGCATACATTTTTCGTTTCTTTTGAAATGTTCTAATTGATTGTATTGATATGTTATTTTAGATTAGAAATCATCAGAAAGATTTTAAGATCACTTAAAAATTTAAAATTCAGTCATTAAAGCCAGGCATGGTGGCACACACATTTAATTCCAGTATTCAGGAGGCAGAGGCAGGCACAGCTCTGAGAGTTCAAGGCTAGCCTGTTCTACAAAGCAAGTCCCAGACTAGTCAGGAAATACATAATTAGACCCTGTCTCAAAAAATTAAAATCCATCATTACAATTCCCTCTTTTAAAAAATGTGTGTTTGTGCATGTGCGTGCGCACGTGTGACACCTGTGTGCAGGTGTCCATGGAGGTCAGAAGAACATATCAGATATCCTAGACCTGGAGTTGCAGGACATTGTGAGCTGTCTGTCAATGATACTGTAAACAAAACTCGGGTCTTCTGGAAGAGCAGCAAGCTCTCTTATGTCCAGTTCCTGTACTTCCTTATTTGTAGAATATTCCTTAAATATAAACAGTTGTAAGACATTGCCACAAGATTCCTAGTGACATGGTTTATACACATTTGGCCTTTATTGTACTTTTTTTTTATTTGTTTGCTTTTTGTGACAGGGTTTCTCTGTGTAGTCCTGACTTTCCTGGTACTCACTCTGTAGACCAATCTGACTGTGAACTCACAGATCCATCTGCCTCTGCCTCCTGAGTGCTGGGATTACAGGTGTGTATCACCATCCCCTGGCAATAGTACTTTTTAATAATTATTTTTATTAGCATAATTTCAATTTATGAGTAACTGAACAAAAGATTTTTTCATTGTAATGCTTACATACAAGTATATAATGTACTTTCAAATTCAGCTCATTAGCTGAATTTCCTTCCATGCTAATTATTATTAATCACAAAATTTCAAATGTTATAAACCTGGGGTCCTAATGGCTCAGACAATAATCCTTATCTAGAGTCCTCAGAAGAACCTATTATCCGTATTGAAGTGAAGACTTTCTACCCATGATGGAAGAGTGCATCAGGTGTTTCCCAGGACGGGCTCTGGGTCCTTTGTCTCACACCTCACTCTATAAGGAATCAGCTGAGGTTGCTTTACCATCTCTCCCACTCTGTCTGCCTCAACCCCTCATTGTACAAAAGGAATCCTGCAACCTTTCATGGGGTTGTGGTGAGGATGGAATCCTACGTATTTAAATCCTACGTAATTGATTATATACAGTGTTCCTGGCACAGAGCCCCTATATAACCACTGTACAAAACTAGTTTTCATGTCTGTAGTAATTGTTTAGTGTTTTTTTTGACATGAGAGCTTCATGTAGAATAAAAGAACTGTTGACGAAATTAATGCACATCAATATGTAAAATATAGCAGATCATCTCAGAACACATGTCAGTCTAAATCTGCGCACTACCCGAGTACACTCCTACCTGAGGAAGAATGTACTGCACATGGTGAACCCAATTGGATAGAGATTCCACCAGGTCAGTCACTTGGATGCCTTCAAAATCGGGGTTTTCCTCATAGCTGTCCCGGCCACCTTCCACCTCTTCTTCTTCTTCTTCTTCTTCTCCTTCCTCTTCACCAAACTGATAGAATCCTAGAGGACTGACATGGGTCCCTGCTGAAATGCGGGCAATTTGTGCTCTTAAGTAATTGCTTTCATTTCCTGGGAAGGGTGGGTAGCTTATGATGGCTGCATCTAGTCGTCCAGTGAAAAATTTCTTGATTTTTCTTGCGGTAACAATTTGAGCAGGCGTCACTGATGGTAACTTCACCCATGGCCTTCCAGGCTCGTTGCAAACAAAATAGATGTACTTGTTTGTACCCGTTCTGTTTTCTTCCTTGGGTATCGCCTGTGGGCCCTTATACAAGGACTTAGGTAATTCGTCCTCCTCGCCTTCCCCAGCTTCACTTTCTACATCGTCCCTTTCTTCAGCTACACCTTCCTCTTCCACCTCCTCTTCATCTTCCCCTTCACGTAATTCTACTTCAGCAATGATATAATTCATTTCCAGACCCAAGATCTTGCCCCAGAAGCGGCATCTTTGGATTGGGTGTGTTTCAGTAAGTTGCTTGAGGGCAAGAAACACCCGATAAGTCTCATCTGTCCCCAAACCAACTCCAGCTTGTTCAAAATAGTACGCTGACTCCATCACATTGGGCAGAGAGCTTTCTGCCTAGGAAAACAAATATCCATGGTTAAAATCTTATTGATTAGAGGAATGTTTGCATCTTTTCTATGCCTTGACACTATCTCTACTTTCTCCACTCCTCTTTCTTTGAAGATACAAAGCAAAATGTGTGAATCCCTAAACTTCTGTTCTTCCCCCACACATAAGGCTTCTTAGACCAGTTGTGTGCTATACTCATCCATACGATCCTAATTACTTTGTTTCATGTGACTCTTAGAAAGAACTTAATGGCTGATAAACATTCAAGTCAGGCATTATGGTTCACATCGTTAATCTTAGCACTAGGAAGGCAGAGGCAGGTAGACAGTTTTCAATTTGAGGCCAACTAGCCTACATAGCAAATTTCAGTACAGCCACAGCTATCTAGTGAGGCTCTATTTGAAAAAAAAATCAACATTATTTTTCATATAAAATAGGTTAATAATGCTAAAATAAGACATAGTCTAACAGACACATATTTATATATATATATATGTTGTCACTAAACTATGTATTAAATTCATGGTTTTACATGTATGTCAGGTAAATAACATTAACATTCTATATATGACAACATGTAAAATAATGGAAAAGATTATAAAGGTAAATATTTTTTGAGTTGCTTGGAATGAGCTACACTTTAAAACAAAAATATAAGTACTTGACAGTATGTGTAGTATATAATAACATTTGAAGTAATGAAGATAAACATAATTCCATAAAAGAAATACAGGGAAATGAATACAGAGTGCTAAATGGACACTAGAATAGCTACAGTTAGAAGACAAAATGGAAATTCAAAAGAACTTTAGCTAAAGTGGGATGCTTCCCAGACAGTCTTGCTCTGTCACGGCCCAGAGCAGTTATGAGCACTCATCGTTCTCACAAATGACTTGCAAGTGTTTATTGTTTCCCATTGTGGTGTCAAGAAAAATATGAGGACTTTGGGGGAGGTTGTTTGTTTGTTTGATTTTGGTTGAGACAGGTCTTAATGTATATGTAACCCTGGCTTTCTTGGAACTCACTCTGTCATCCAGACTGGTCTTGAACTCACAAAGATCTGTCTGCCTTTGCCTCTGAGTTCTGGAATTAAAAGCCATTTGGCTTGACTAACATAATGCCCTTTAAAATCCTCAACTGTGACATAGATTTTAAAATTCTTTCCCTGGCATGTAGAATATTACTTGCTCTTGGTCCTTCTCACTTAGCTACATTGTCATGGGGTCAGGAGCACAACAGTGAAGGTCAAAGGACAACTTTCTGAAGTTGGTTCTGTCCTTAAGCATGTAGGTCCCAGGGTTGAACCCAGCTAGGTCTTTAGGCATGACAGTAGAAGCCTTTACTCTCTTTTTGCCCCCAATGTGAAGCTGTACTCTTCATCCCATAACTCAGCTCTGATATTCCATGGCTGCTGGCCTGACCTTTATTAGGAAGACGCTGGGTCAAGGGTGGTCAGTCTTCAGACCCAAAACAGCTACGTGTCTTCTCACTCACCTCCTGTATCTGGGTGTAGATCCTGATCTACTGAAGTTGCCAAAGACAGCTGGGGGCCCCATTCCTGTACTGAATACTGATGTTTCTTAATAAAGTTATCCCTGAGAATGTCTGCCATCTGCTTGATCCCCACATACTGAATGCTCCTACAGTTCTCGTGGTTGTATTTGACCCATACTCCAATGCCACTGTGCAAATCAGCCTGGCATTAGCTCCTTACTCCTATCATAGGTTCCTTCCATCCAAGGACTATCGGTCTCTTTGCCTCAGGCTGCGTTTCTTCCCAAAGGCTGCTACACCAAGGCACTGTGGGAGCAGTCAAGCCCCTGCCTCCTTTGCTTTTCCATGAAAATTCTATTTTGAGAGCAGTTTATTTGAAATTATTGTAAATAGTTTGTTGTTACTAGAACATGAAGTTATACATAAATTTTTAAGTATACAAACATTTATGGCAAAAGATATAGTATGCTATTTTGAGTATTTGAAGTTCAAAATTTTGTTAGTCACCAGATTGTACTCCAAACTATATATTTTCTACCTTCTGTTACCAATTCTTTCTCCAAATATTTTCACTAATTTGACTTTTGATTTGAAAAAGAATTTTATTTCTAACTGCTTGTACTTTGAACCATGGTTAAACTATAGTAAATACCCAGACAAATGAATCTTACCCTAAAAACGACCACACATTGGAAGTGACAATAGAAGTACTTTTATGTTTTGAACTTAATTTAAAGGAAAATATAAAGCTTTTACAGTCATGCACCACTTGATGGTGGCACATTTGAAGAGATTTCATTCAGCAGGTTGGTCTTGCAAATATCATGGAGTGAACTTCATCAAGACTAGATGACATAGCCTACCAAACACTCAGTATATATATATATATCTGTGTGTACTTACCTTAAAATCTATTTAGCCTTAATTTTAATGTGGATTGGTGTTTTGCTAGCATGTATGTTTGTACGCCATATGTATGTGTTATATCCCCTTGGAATGGAGTTATGGTTGTGAGCCTTCATGTGGTGCTTGGAACCAAATCTAGGTCCTCTGGAAAAGTAGCCTGTGCTCATAACCATTGAGCCCTCTCTCCGGCTTCTCACCCTCTCTTGTGAGAAAAAAAAATCTCACTATAAATTCATTGCTGGTCTAGAGCTCCCTGAGATTCCAGTGTTCATTAGCAGCATCGAGAAATTTGGTAATGACTTACAGTTATTTACAGAGCTATAAGATGGTGTATTGATGAGGCAAGTCCCACTCATCTTTGAGATTCCAGTGCTCATTAAAATAGTGTTGAGATAGTTGGTGATCACTTACAATTTCCTCCTCCAGTTCTGGATCAGCTCCTTCCAATGGTCCCTGGAGAAAAAGAGCCTTTTGCTTCTCTGCTATTTCATATTCTGGAAGCATCTCATTTTCATTGTGGAGTGTATCTAACTTTTTATTAAAATTTGACATCTTCACATCTTTGCTTATATTTTCAATGATGTCAACAGCATCTGCAGGACGCTCCTCTAATATCATGGTCAACACATTAGAAAGATGATCATATCTACCAAACAGAGAAAATTCCATGAACATTTAAAAATTTTTCATGCAAATTCAGTTGGGTTTTAAGAAAGTTAAAAATTTGAAATCTTAAGAGATTTTGAAGAGAAGCTAATTTCTACTACTCCAGATAGAACCTACTCTAAAATTTTCTTTAGTAAAGTTTCTAATATGGTGTGGATATTTAAGTTAGTAGAGGAAAGTATCACAGCAAGATATATAATACACATCAGTTCTTTTCACATTTCATTTCTGAAGTTAAAATCTCCTAACTATATATTAACAGTGATGCATGTTTTTTACTCTTACCTCAATTATTTCCTGTTTCTCATCCTTGCCCTCACCAAATACAATCTGATATCAAATACTGTTAATTCTTTAAGAGCTGTGTGATTGCCACCTTATATATGTTAAAGGATTTCCAATTATGTCTATGCATGTGAGTATGTGCATGTGAAAGCAGGTGCCCATGCCAGATCTCCTGGATCCTGAGTTGTAGGTGCTTTGTGAGTTACATAATATTGGTGCTGGAAACCAAACTCTAGTCCACTGCAAGAGCAGTACATGCTCATAACTGCAGAGCCATTTCTCTAGCACCTACATCTTTTTTCAGGTTTATTTTATTTAATGCATGTGAGCATTTTGCTTATATGCATGAACGTATATCATTTGCATGCTGGTTACTGAGAAGGTCAGAAATTATTGGATACTCTAGAACCAGAATTAAAGGATGGTGGTGAGCTAACATGTGGGTACTGGCTACCAAATCCTGGTCTCCTGCAAGAGCAACTAGTGCTCTTAACTACTGAGCCCTCTCTTCACCTCCTACATCAAAGTTTTTAAAGTAATATTTTGCTTCAATGTTTTTGGACTTCCAAAGAAGCATTTCATAGTGTTATCTGCCCAGGTTCAGGTAAAGACAAATCACCAAATTCTTTGCTTCTTTCTCTTATTCTAAACTATTCTTGTTAATTCTTGGAGAATTTCACATGTGTTCTGATCATATTCCCCTCTCCCTTCCAATGCTTCCCAGATACACACACTCAAATTTGTGTCTTTTTCCCCCTTCCATTAAAGCCAGTTCATGCTGCCTAAATATTCTTATACATGTGTCTTCTCCTGGTAATTATGACATTTTTATATACTCTGTTTCACATTTAAATTAGTAAAACTCATTTACCCTCCCATTAATAAATTATACTTTGTTCACAATTCATACTCCGTAGTTTTTATGCACTAGGTTTAAAAGTGAGGAATGGGCTTTTCACACTACTATACACTTCTCTCCTTGCACAATACTGATTTACAGAGTAAGAATGAGTGGATGGATGGATGGATGGATGGATGGATGTGTAGATGGATGGCTGGATGTGTAGATGAATGAATGGATGGATGGTTGATGGGTGGGTAGATGGATGGATGGATGGATGGAAAGATGAATGGATGCATGGATGGATGGATCAATGGATGGATGAATAAATGAATGGATGAATAGATGAATTTATGGATGAATGGATGCATGGATAAATAGATGAAGGATGGATAGATAAACAAATGGATGGATGAATGATGGATGGATAGATGGACACATAAATGGATGAATGGATAGATGGCCGGCTGGCTGGCTGGTTGGATGGATGGATGGATGGATGAGTGGATGGACAGATGAATGGAGGATGAATGGATACATGGATGGATGGGTGAATTAATGATGAAACATTGACAAAGTCTTTAGCCTATGTCTTCTGAGACTTTGTTTCCAATATCATCAAGATCTACTGAATTGCCTTCTGTTTTGTTAGTAAATGCTGTCAGCTGAAAAGAAATGTGGAAACTAAACACAAGATACATGGGATCCAATATCATGACCTCCAAGGACACCCACATTCATAAGCATACACCCACACATAGATACATAATTAAAATTTTTTTATGACCTGGAGTTATGTAGTGGTTAAGAGTACTTCCTGCTTCTTTAGAGGACTCAAGTTGGGTTTCCAGTACTCACATGCACCAACACTGTATTTGGAAGATGTAACCTCTAGTTCTTGCTGATATTTACTCATAGTTTGGAGGATGATGATCACCAGGCATCAAAATATAAGTTCAAAAACAATTGTAAAATTATAAATATCACAAAGTACCATGAATTAAAAGAATACACTACTGCAAGACAGTTACATGGCAGCTGAGTTCTGAAGCATCAGGAACTAACTGGGCAAAGATTAAGAGAAAGAGCCTTCTCAGCAGAGGGATCATGGGAACTTACTATTTCTTGTGACTAGAGAGGAATAATGAGGAATGAAACAAACGAGAATCAAGCAAATTAAGTTCTTCATGAGATTCTGAGTCAGGTCCTTCATAATAAAAGAGAATGACTTAGTGAGGTAGTGTGGTGCATGTCTTTAATCCCAGCACTTGGGAGGCAGAGGCAGGCAGATCTCTGAGTTTGAGGTTAGCCCAGTCTACAACAGTTAGTTTCCAGACAGACACCAAAGCTACACAGAGAAGCCCTGTCTCGAAAAACAAAGCAAAACAAAATGAAAAGAATGACTTGATTTGACTGTTTCTTTTTCTAAAAATTTATTAACATTTTTAAAAATGTATGGGTGTTTTGGCTGCACATAGGACTGTGAAACCAGTGTGTTCCTGATGTCAGGGAGGTCAGAAAAGGGCTTCAGAATCCTTAAAATTGGAGTTCCAGATAGTTGTGTGTTGTAAGAGGCCACTTGTATGTTCTCAGATGCCCAGACCCAAAATAATCACACAAAACTATATTAATTAAATCACTGCTTGGCCCATTAGTTTTATCTTCTTACTAGCTAACTCTTACTTCTCAATTTAACCCATTTCTTTTAGCCTGTGTATTGTTATGTGGCTGTGGTTTACCGGCAAGTTTCTGTCCAGGGTCTGTCTCTGGCAGGCTACATGGCTTCTCTCTACTCCACCTTTTTTTGCCCAGAATTTAGTATAGTTTTTCCTGCTTAGTTCTACTCTGCCCTATCAACAGGCTAAGGCAGTTTCTTTATTTATTAACCAATAAAAGCAACACATATACAGAAGGACTTTGTACATCAATTGTGAACTAGGAATTGAACCTGGGTCTTCTAAAACGTCAGCCAGTACTCTTAACCACTCACCATCTCTTCAGCCCCCATTTGATGTTTTCTATCATTGTGTGTGGCCACAAAATTCACCTATGATTCTGTAATCCTGGAAGCAAAAATGTCTAGTAACTGACACCACTATGAAGTCTCACCTCAAAGCTATAATGAAATGTCAAGAACACACCGGGACAGTTGGCTACCCTATGTTTAAAAGAGAGACTGGAGTGTTTTTTTAAAGTAACCAGGTTTTCTGGTTTCCTGTAGAATATAGGATGTTTTTAAGTGCTTACATCGAAGGACACCCCTAAGAAAACCAGGATGGGTGGTCACCCCATCACTGGCCTGGGACTGAACATACAATCCACCTACACAAATCCTGGGATGAGAGCGCACTGTCATCATAGGCAGTTATATTTTTCGAGGCACCCTGGGTAAGGGCTTAGATTTCATGACTTTGTAAGTCCTTCCAAGTCAAGAGTAAATAAACCAAACAATAATGAGGCCCCAAACAAACAGAAAATATCTGAATGGTGTGCCTAGGGTCTTCAAAGACCTGAAAGAATCATTAACAGGGCCTGGATTTGAGTGCTTGATGCCGTGATCTCACCAATTCACTTTCTTTGTCTTTCCTCTTTGTTTGTTAGTTTTTGAGATAGGGTCTCAATGTGTTGCCTTAGCTGACCTGGACCTTGCTGTGTAGACCAGGCAGACCTATAACAAAGATCTTCCTGCCTTTACCTCCACTCCCAGGTCCTGAGATTAAAGGCCTATGCTACTATACACAATGCCTTTTATTTTTCCACATGGAATTCTTTCCAATTCTACCTTTTTTTGTCTCCAACACATTTTCACAGAGACGCTGCTGCCCACTGCCCCTGCCTGACTTTGTCAAACTGTCCCTTCCCCCACTCCCAGTGATACTTACAGATTTAAACCAGACTTGCTGCTGGTGCTCAGTAGGTATGCCTTTGCATTTTGAATAGCCACCTCAAGCATACTGGGAGCTGCTTCATTAGCTTCAAACTCAGGTTGGTCTGTATCACAGTTACTGTTTGAGTCTTCTTCCTGTAAAAGGTTGAATCTCAGCCCTTTGGGCTTGGGCTTGTTATGGCTGGCATCCCCTGGCCTACACAAGTCAAACTGGGGTGGCTGAGCGGGTGCAGAGGTGCATTCCTCTGTTTGGCTTGTATAGTAAGAAGAAAATTGTCTTGCAGCAGAATATGGTTCCCAAGGATCAGAATGAGGTGGTGTTGCAGTGCCAGGAATCCCACCGGGGTTCTTCTTTGCCTGTGATAAAGCCACAGGGTCCTGGGTAGATGCAGTGGGGGGAGGACTGAAGTGACGCTCCAGCGGAAGCAGAGGAGGGGAGAATGGCACTCCTGGTCCCATGAGGTCTCCCAGAGACAGGCTGGCTCTAGTTTGGCGGCCCCAAGAGGGGCTCATTGTGCCTTGTGTTTCAGTGTCTGACCTTTGCTCCTTTTCCAGGTACTCAGGTGACAGGGGACCAGGATCCAGGGGAGAAGCTGCTGCTGCTCCTTCCCATGGCTTCTCTGCTTCTCCAGGCTCTTGGTTTTCTTCTTCTTGCTTTAAAATGGAGTTTTCCATAGAATTTAAGAAAAAAAAATCTGGTTGAAGGGAGAATGAAGTTATGGAAGGAAGCAATACAGAGCTTTGCTAAGTTCTCCAAGTGATCAGTCCTACCTGCTGTGCAGGTTGCAGCGTCCTGTCTCCATAGCAACCCCAGGCTGGCCTTTGCTTTGAAAAAAAAATCAAGCAGCCCTGTTGCTGCGTCTAAGGCGGGAACTAAGAAGAAAACTCTAGTTTTGTGATTTGGTGAAGTATCTGTCATTCTTCCTAGCTCAGCCAATCCGAACCAGACCCTTTCGGTTTTGTTTTAGAAACCCAAGACCAGCAAGTCTTCAGCCTAAAGCACACAGTGGGAGGAACTGTGATCTGGGGCTGAAAAACTTTAAGGGTGTGACAGCTTGATCCAGGCATGATATGAAGAATGAGGTCTGAACTAGTGGAAAGCCGATCGCTCTCTGTGTACCTCCCTCGTTTCGAGAGACAGATAAAGACACTGGTGGGGTATTGAGTGCACCAAGAGAATCCAGTAGGTTAGCTGACAATGGCATGGGAAAAGATAGTGTTTCAGGCACTAGGAGAGCCCCAAAGGCGGACTCACAGTGCATTTGCAACTCACTGAGCCAACCTACTGTGAATGGCAGCTTCTGAAAGGAAGCTGCATCTAGCTGTGAATCAGTGTCTGCAGAGACCAAGTGGTGGATTAGAATTCGATACTGTGGAGAGATTGGCATGTTGAAGGTTCAGAAGCTAATTACCTTATGTGAAAAGTTCTGGCCATCTAGAGCAGCCATTTCATCTCCACTGTGATGCAACTAACATCTTGTGACAATAGATAAAAGCCTTTTTGAAATCTATTAGCTTTGCAGACCACTAACTTCTGCCAAATGTCATGGGATAGATAACACACATTGTTGTATCTCCCTCTCTGATGTACCCATCAAAGTATTTTAAACTTGCCTTGATTTATAATTTTTGTTTATGAAATGATAAAGACTTCATGAAACTGCTTCCACATTTCAGCATAGAATTTAGGGAAACTGAAATTTGTGTTCCTTCATCAAATCACTCAAAATGACTCCAGAATAAACTATCTCTTTTACCTTTAAGATGATAGATGTGGTTTTTGCATCAATGATTATGGCCCCACAGTGTGAGATGTCAAGATTGATCTTCTCTTCCCTGGAGGAATCACCCAGGAGGGATCCGCATGCTTGGATGAACCCATTGAATACAGGACATCTGCTGTTATTTCTTTCTGGATTGTTGACGAATTCTTTTAGGACCCTGGACCTCCCTTAGCTTGGTCAGTGATCCATTTGGCTTATTCTGAGCCAGTTAGGAAGGTGGGAGGATCCTACTTTGATTTCACTAACTGTCCCTTTTTATCTGGTGCCACACAGCTCAATGACAGACAAGTTCACACAGTCTCCTCCTGTTGATTGTTTATCCTCTGTACCAAAGTCAGATTTAGTCTGAGATTAATGAATTTTAGGTTCAAGCCCAACCATTGCTAGACTTTCTCATAAATTTTATATTTATAATTTTTATTTTCTTTTTTTAATTTTTTATTATTTATTTATTAAAGATTTCTGTCTCTTCCCCACCGCCGCCTCTCCTTTTCTTCCCCCTCACCCAATCAAGTGCCCCTCCCTCATCAGCCCAAAGAGCAATCAGGGTTCCCTGCCCTGTGGGAAGTTTTATTTTCTTAGTAGAAGACTCTTCCAAAATAAACAGGATGAAGGCCCCATTAATCTTGGATCTGCCCTATTTGTACAACAGCCTCAAAAGAGAGGCTGATACAAATAAGCATCACTCCAGTGTGGTGCTTCTTACTGAGACTTCAGCTTTATATGGATAGTCCCTTTCTCCTCAGGGATGATGCTCCTCTATTAGACTGAAGTGAATGGCAGCAACTTGTTGGTAATTTATAGTTAAATTGATCTATGTTCTTCTAAAGAAGCCTATTAAAAAACTTAATTGATTCTTTGTGGATTTCACATCATGTATCCCAATCCCACTCATCTCCCCTTCTGCTCTTGCAACTGCCACCCCAACATAAAATGAAAGCAAAAAGAAAAACACAAAACAAAAACAAAAGGTCTTGGTGTGGAGGCTGTATGTGAAACAGTGAGTCACACAGTACACTCTTTAGTCCATACATCTTTACTTGTAAGTGTTTATTGCAATGCTCATTGGTCTATTGTGAGGCCTCTGGCTTCTGCTTTGCCCTGGATACTGGGCCCTCACTGTGTCTGCTCTTGGATATCCCATTGTTGCCTTGTGTCATAAAGATCCAGTAGCTCTGGATCTGCAGGTGCTCATCACATGCTCCAAGAGTTCATAGACTTGGTAGATGTTGGGGTGCACCAAGACATAGCCCAAATTCTGGGCCTGGGTGCTAGCTGGGCTTGTCAGTTTGCCAGCTTTCCCTCATTATCATTACCAGGGTGAGCTCCAGTGCTGCCCTGGCTACCTCACCCAATGCAGCAGATAAACAGGAGCAGGGCCAGCTCACCTGCACCCACACCACCAGGGCTAGCTCTACTATTTTGCTCAGGTGAGGTACAGGGCCTGCGCTCCTGAGTGCTGTGGTTGGGGAGGGACAGGGCCAGCTCTCCCACTCTCGTGGCCTCCAGACCTGCTCTCCCACCTGCCACAGGTGGCAAGGAGGGGCTTCTTTCCCTCACCCTGACACCACATGGCAACTAAGGGAAGTGGGGTGAGCTCTCCTGTTCTCACACCCTCAGGGCTGGTTCACTTTTATCCCTGTCAACACAGTCAGCTCTACTATGATGCCCAGGTGAGGTACAGGGCCCATTCTCCTGTGTGCTGCAGCCAGTGAGGGACAGGGCCAGCTCTCCCACTCTTTTGATCCCCAGGCTGGCTCTCTCACCTGTCACAGGTAGCAAGGGGAGAGGGAGAAAAGAAGCTTATTTTTCCAGAGAATTAAGTTTTCTTTGATTATTCCTATCTCATGCCACTGATCTAAAATACTTTGCTTACCAGGATCTCAAACAGTAGGAACTGTGCTTCCAAATTCTCACTGTTTTAAGGTAATCTCTCCAAGGCTACATGGCTAAGAAAGCTTGCATCATGAATTTAAGTAACTTTGGTTCTAAAAGCAAAAGGGCCCCTGCACAGAAAAGCAATAGTATTTTTTCACTCAAATGATATTTGGTCTTACTAAATCATACCTAGACTATAAAGTAAGAGATAAGTAAAGGATCATAAATCTAAAAATCAATTATTATAACAAAATTGGTATTAGCCTTTTCCAGTTGCCACATAGTAAAACTGTCAACCAGGAGTATTAAATGCATGTTTAATTCTGCATAGAATGGTGGTGTCCCCACATTACCACACAGTTTCAGGATTTCATGCTGTTCTCTGACTATAAATATCCATGTAGAAATTTTAACAGGTGTTTTTGGGAGATTCAGATGATTAAAATAGACATATTTTGACCTTTGGCTAGCTGTAAGTTCAAGCTGCCTTTTGGATTGAACTTGTAAACTAGGTTCATAATTTTATTTATCATTTATAAAGCTGCAGAATTCTTTAATTCCAGGTGCAGTTTTTCTCCCGCCAGTGCTTGCAGGTTTGTTCAGTCCCACCTGTAAGCCCCTTCCTTCCCTGCTGATGTTGGCTAGTCCTCAGATGGAAGGTCACTGGAAGAGTAGCTCGGGCAGCGTCTGCAGGATCTACAGGTGACGATCAGTTGGTAACACCCTGGCACAAACACCAAGAAGCCCACAATCAGGATGGCAATGACCCGGCTGGTCCCCATGTGGCTGATGCAGCCGGTCAGCAGAAGGCAGCCCGTCACGATGAGAGTGGTGCCAATCAAAAGCAGCAAGCTGGCACAGATGATGGTCTTGTAAGGAATCTTAGCAGGGTTGTTGTTTAAGAAGAGAGATCTCATGATACCGGAGTCTCTTTAACTTAGCGCTAGTCAACAGTTCAAGTCCATTCCGAAGGTTACAGTTTTCTGAGTCAGCACTGAAGAGCTTCCAATAGTTACTCTGCCCTGGGTATCGCAATGTGAACTTGCAGCTCAGATCCCTTCCAAAGGTTGCAGTGTCCGGGTCAGTGCAGTTGAGCCATGTTTTCTTTGCTGGGGATCGCAGTGTGAGCTTGCAGCTCAAAGCCGTTCCCAAGGTTGCAGTGTTCTGGTTCAGTGCAGGATGGCCTCCAATGCTTACTTAGTTCCTGAGGATCCAAGTGCTACATTGGTACATCATCATCGCTAGAGTGGATGAACTTCACTTGGATGCCAGGCAGAGAGCAGGGGTATCTGAGATCTGACGGTTGCCCGTAGAGGCTCGCGCGGCAGTTTCCTCAATGTGTGTCTACTGTCTGCCTCCACCACAGACTAATTGCTTCTAAGGAGCTCTCGCTTTTGTGTCATTGAATAAAATTCTAAATCTCCAAAATTATGATGACAGAGAGTATGGTTTGGGCTTTATTTTTGTTACATTGTTAAGCCAGCTCTAGTAAATATCCTCATTCTGTGATAATTGAAGTTAGTAGATTTAGTTGGTGTGTGAATGTTCAGTTTGAATGCCTATTGCAGGAAGATCTCCTGGTTTCTAACTCACAAGTTATGTTTTTCAGTCCTGGTGCTTAATAAATCAAGGGAGAAAAACATATAATGTGAAGACTGTTGGAAAAATCATTTCAGTAATACTTCCCATAAGTGTATAGCTTGGTGTACTCTTGATATAGTATTTTGCTCTGACTTTTTACTCTTCGGTGGGAAAGTAAAATGTTTCTCACAATGGAATAACAAGATCCTCTGGGGATCTTTCCAAAGACCCTCGGTACGAAGGCTTATTTTCCCCCTACAATGTCCAGGTCTTCCCTTTGGTTCCAGTGTCTTCATATTAAGCTCTTATACAGTAGCAGTCATTACTTCCTTGTATGAACAGAATGAATTAAATGTCATGATTAAAATTTTTGAACCTGGCTTGGCCTGGTTATTCCTCCAAGTACAGCTGGCTTAGAGAATTAGATATCTCCATCATTCCCCACTTCCCGC